GAAAGAATATTTTCAACACACTGCTCAAATAGTTTAGGAATTGTAGACAGGATGCTGATAGGTCTGTAGTTTGTCACATCATTCTTGCTGCCTGTCTTGTGAATAGGACAAACATAAGAGACCTTCACATTTCTGGAAAAATTCCAGAGTTTAAGGATTTGTTAAAAATAATAAACAGAGGGAGATATAAAGTGTTAGAACAAGATTTTAGTACTTTGTTAGGAATACCATCAGGTCCTGCAGACTTGTTGATGTCCACTTGCTTTAAAGCCCTCTCAATATCGGTTAGGTCTATGACAATGCTTGAAACATTCTAAAATGGATCAACAAAAGTTCTGGCGTTGGAATTTCCCTGGATGTTATAGACAGAGGAAAAATAAACACCAAAAAGATTAGCTATATCAACACCGTTGAACGCTATTTCTGTCGCCGGAAACATTTCGTTAGGAATAGTATCTTGATTGGATTGGGAATGAACCAAGTTTCAGAAGACTTTCACATTAGTGCCTATGGCCCTTTCAGTATCACTTATGTATAATTTGTAGTACTCCTTATGGTGAGGTTTTTACAATCCCTCCAAAGTGTATTAGATGCAAAATAATCCACTTCACTAATCAACTGTTTGTATTGTTCGTGAACAATTTAGTTCCTGAGAAAACCAGATAGGAAATTTATCACTTTAGCTTTAACTGTCTCTTTGTGGGAACAAACATATTAAAGCAGTCGAACAGCACCGAGTAAAGGTTTTTAACAGTTTCGTTCAGATCCTCAGTCATAATGGATCACCAATCAAAGGAAAGAAAATATTCATCAATTACATCGTAATTGGCATTTTTAAAGTCATAGGAAAAATAATTAAGAGGCTTCAGAAGATCGTTAGTCACCCCATTGTATTGAGACAGATTAAGGGACAATATTTCTTTAGTTGATCTTACATTTCCAGGTAATAAACCAGAGAGATCCTCACTAGTGGATAATCTCCAAGAACAAGCACATTATCAAACATTTCACAGGCACTCGCAACTGATTTCAAGTAGCTTTCATAATACAAAACATCCATGGTAGCTGGAATGTGGACACAGGCAATACAAAAGACAAAGTCACCCAGCGTGACATCCATGTTTCCTCCACCGATGCTTCACCAATTGACGGACGATGGTGCAATCACTAAGAAAGACTCAGCGCGAGCAGAACAGAAAACATCTTTGAGTTTAGTTTTTAGGCCTTTTACATTTTGGTACAGAAAGGTAGCATAATCTACTGAGACTGCTCCCCTCTGAAAATTTGCTGTGGAGGTTTTTACTCCCATACAGCGAGGATGAAACTCCTTGACAGCAATGTCTACAGGCCAGAGTTTTGGATCTAGGAGTTCCTTTGTACAGTATTTCCAAGTATTACCCGGTATTTCCAATTAAGGTCAACATGGCTAACTGTAACAGCAAAATAACTGGGCCATATCTCAGTTTTTGACCTGTTATTAAAATTTGTTAAAAGTGTGTTTATTTATATCCTGCATCATGTAGTAGAAAGAACGCTGCTGGATTAATTTCTGAGAAAAAAATTGAAATTTGTTACTTTTACAAAGTGTATCCTCATAACAAAGGACAGAAGTTTGAATTTTAATCAATGGTTAGTGATTATAGTGAATAATTTTGCATTAAGCATGTTTAACCGTAAGAGAAAGATGTTGTGAAGGTAAGCCAAGATTGTTCAATTTTAAAATGATGGAAACACAACTTGGGTTCCAGTTGCCCTGGTAAAAATACATACAGAGACAACTGGAACGTATATGGTATATTATGATGTGGCCAACTAGAACATGTTTCACCTGAAATTAACATTGCGGTCAGGAATTATATCCATATAACCTCCAAAGGAGAGGACGGTGGAAGATAGACCCTGAGAAAACCAATTGAAGATGTTCAAAACGCTAGGAGAACAATGTACGGTGCTGCTGTTTTCTATGACATCCCAAAATCCACATTGAGACTTCTCATATTTAGAATAAGAGGGAAAGGTATATTGTCGGTAGCACGATAGGTGGTGGAGAAATATATGAATGAAGTAGAAGACCTGTCAATTGTGCTGAACGCCATGCAAAAATGAATATTTGGATTACTTACAAAGAAAATAGGTTTCTTTATTTTATTTTTTTGTTCATTTTATTATTTTTATTAAACATTATTTTCTCACCATTAAGTAATACTTTTGTTGCATCTCCCATATTTCTCATAATTCTTGAGCAAAAAAAAAATAAAATTTAGTAGGATCTTTACATAAACGTTACAATATGTTCCAGAAATAGAGGTTACTGTTTTAGTTGCCTCAAAATTAGGATAACTGGAACAGTTGACCAAAGAAAATTGAAACACTTAACTAGAACAAAGTGGAACACTGAACCAGAACAAACCAGAATGAACTTGCACCCAATTCTTGAGACTTTAATGAAAATGCCCAGAAATACGTTAAAAGATGGGTTGGAAGTTATAGAAATTTACAAATACTTCCATGTATTTTCAAATTATTCCCATGTACTCCCAGAGTATTCTCATATACTTCCAGTGCATTTCCAATCAAGGATTTCCAAGTATTTCTAAGTATTGCCAGAGTATTACTAAGTATTTTTAGGTATTCCCACAAAGTAATCCCATCAAAGTGTACAGGGTGTTTGTTTATAACTGGAACACTCGATAACTTTTTTATTATTGAAAATAAAGGGCATGTTTAAATTGGAAAATTTCTTGGTAAATTGCAACGATCTTTGTCGCTACAACGATATTTTTTTGTCGCCATAGATATACAGGGTGCGCCAAAAAAGTCATTTTTCTAAATGGAACGCCCTGTATATTTTTGCATTTTTTAAATTCTTAGAAGATAAGCTTCACGAAAATATCAAACACTATTTGGAAAACAAAAATACACAGTGCGGTTTATTTTTAAAAAAAACCTTTTTGGCGCACCCTGTATACCTATGACGACAAAAAATATCGTTGTAGCGCTTAAGGTTGCAATTTACCAAGAAATTTTGAAACTTAAACATACCCTTTATTTCCAATAATAAAGAAACTTGCTGAGTGTTCCAGTTATAAACAAACACCCAGTACAGTGATTTCCATGAGTGATTTACCCCTCGATGCTCAGGTATAAGTTAAGCCAAAACTTGATTGGTCAAAATAATGGAAACTGTAATTAAATATCAACTTGAGTAGAGCTTTTACTAGGGTTTCCATAAAGGTTTTTCGGAATTCAGGACAAAAAAGTCAAGAAATCCGGACCAAATTCGGACTTCGCCGAAAAATAACTTAAAATTTTTACAAAGGAAGAATTTTGTTAATTTTTGCAAAAATACAGTTTTACAGAAATTAATAGACATGCTTTGAGCACACTTCCGTTTCAATATTATCAAAGTTTGCATTATCAAAATTTAATACACTGGCCAGCAAAATTAACGCACCACTAGCTTATTTCTATTTTAATGAGGTTGGTATTTTAAATATGGATTAGCTAGCAAACAGTTCTGATCTTAATCCAATTGAGGATGTCTGGGACATGATCTATCACCGTTTTCAAGAACTTTCTAACCCTCCTAACGCTTTGAATGGGCTTTGGAGATATTGTTCAAATATGGAATAATTTGTATTAAAACGAGATAAAGCCGGTTATTTCAACATGAATAATCGCTGCCATGCTATTATTGAAATTAAAGGAGGAAATACCGGTTATTATTTATTTTTAACTAAAGTTGAAAAAAAAATTATTTTTGAATTTTTTTGTTATTTTTTTTCTAACCTGCTTTTGGAATTTTATGTTTTGTTAATACCCTTATCAAGTTAGAATAAGAATATACTTAATCAAGACATAAAAATATTTGATCAATAATATGAAATAAAAAATATTTTTCAAAATATAGTAGTGGTGCGTTAATTTTGCTGGCCAGTGTATTTTAATGCTGTGTTGCGTGCGTGATATAGCGCAGGGCCCACACAAATCACAATTTAAACGGACTTGGGAATCCTGGAATTCACCGATGCCGATCTAGTACCTGTTTTACCGTGCGAGTTTCCGATTAAAATCAGCTATCATCAGCCATCAGTCAATATATTTCCATCTCACTCTATGTCATAATTATAGCAAAGAAAGGCGATTCCATAGTGCACCGAGCGTTAGTATCGTAACTGTCTAACATTGTAACCGTAACGATTAAAATAGGTTGTTTTCACAATCTCTGAGTTTTCCGGACATTGCTCCGAATTCCGGCCGGACTTCCCGGGACACCCTAAAAACCCAAACAGGTCCTGGTAAATCCGGACGTATGGAAACCCTAGCTTTTACTGAACATGTTCTTATAATATTTCCCAATATATTACTTCTTAAATACTTGACCCAATCTGTCTACATTACAATATTCAGGTGACTTTAATATACAGATAAAAATAATTAAAAATCAGAGATCCTCATTAATTTCAGGCAATCTTACGTTTTTTATCCATGAAAGATAATCGGTACTCAATGTTTCTAGAGGCAAACAAGGGCTGGTACTAATAGTCCAAATTTAGATTATTGTCAGCCCACAACCTTGAACTATAGAGTCAACGTTAACTTTAATGAAAATTCTAAAACGACCAATAAGATGCATTGTTTGTATGTGAATTCGCATCCAATGTATACGTGCACGCTCAATATATTTTGCCTGATAAAAGTATAATAATTTTAAGGTGCAATACGATAATTTGTGGAGACCCCAATTTTTGCCTTGTCTCATTTGAAAAACGATAGACTATACTTTAAAGCTGTAAATAAAATAAATATGTAAGTAATAGTTGATTTTTTTTAGGCTGACAAAGAATATCTTCAAAAACTAATCCAAGCGGGCGGCGGTAAAATCCTGGTGCGGCCTCCAGCAACAAGAACATCTCTCTCAACAACAACAACGGAGGAGGAGGAAAAGAGAGAGATCTCTCTCAACAAACAACAACGGAGGAGGAGGAAAAGAGAGAGATGAGTTGATGTACAAAATGGACGTGCTCCAACATAAAAGTTCAAAATGGTTGATCGATTGCATTGTTCAGTACGAGATTTTAGATTAAGAGTTAAATAAAATGAGGTTTTTTTGTAAAAATTGTATATTTTTCATTTATTGAATTAGTTGTTTTTGCTTTTAACAGGTGCACTACAATGATATAGTGTATGCGCTTTTTAACAAACCGAAAAGTTTCTACTAATAAAGACGGGAATATTTTTTTTAAATACATTTTATGTATATGGCATCTTATTTTAATAAATGTACAAAATAAAAATTATAATAGTAAAACAAATAATATAATCGAGAAAAATTTAGGACTGAATGAGCTTGCTTTTGAAAATGACAGTCGGAATTTTGTAATTGCTTTCGATGTACTTTGTGATATGTTCTAAATTAATAATTTTGAAACAAATCAGTCCTAAATCTCTCAAAAACATAAATAAATTATCTGCATTTTGTGCTCTTTAGACACTTTTATACACCCTGTGTAATGAATTTGTTTACTAAGTTAATTACAAAGGTCGTATTATTGTAAGGGTTCGGGAGAGGAAATAATATAATAATATTGTCATGGTGCTATTTTTTATAAATAAACAATACAATTTTTGGAAGAATAACAAATGCTAATATAGCATAAATTCAGAGGGTTCAGAATCTTATAAAATATACATAGAGAATCCAACAAAAAAAAGCCTAATATAATAAAAAATTCTATAAAAAATCTCCTTAATTCTAAATGCGAAAAAAAAAAAAAAAAACTTAAGACTTAAAAATTATTAATTCTCACATTTTTTTATAAATATGTACACTGTGGCTCAAATTGGCACAGTACATCTACCTTTTACAAAAAGTCATTGGACATACATTAAAGATCAAAAAATGTAGTCATTCAAATTGAACCACAGTGTAAATTTTGGGTGGGCCAAATTCAAAGATAGAATAATCATTAAATACACTTGATCGTTGTTAAATTCGGGCCCACCCAATCGTGGATGTAAGCCCACTTTAACCTAAACATTGGCTTGCTGTAATCGAGTAAACTGCAATCGTAGTTCCGAAGAAAAAACAAATTGAAGCCATTATTCACAGCGACATTATTATTATCATTAATAATTATTAAATAACAAATAAATTAAATATTTACCCATAGTGAGACAAGTAATTATTTGTTTCCGTGCCCCTCCAGATGACGGGGTTTCATGTCTGTAGGGCTGTGGTCAGTTCGTCGTGTATGGTGGCAAGTTCGTGTATGCGTCCGGCAAATTGCTGATTTAAAGTCAAAATTATTTGTTTTTGAGATTCGTGTGCGCTCAGTGCTATGTCCAATTCGGATTGAGCCAATTTCACTGTCGCTTGTAATTCTTGATTTTCTTTTTGAAGAACCTAGAAAATTTGTTAATAATTATTATTGATTCAACTAGCATTGGAGATTATTATTCACAAAGATGAAGGATTGGTGAATACATTCCAGTTTTAACATAGATAAATATTTTTCGGTTTAGAAATGAAATACTGCTATCAATTGGTCGAAGATAAACTAAATACTCACTTGTATATCAGGCAAACGTCCTCCCAAATTCAACTTTTTAATTTCCTCATTTTTGCCCTGCAACTGTTGCTCCAACTGATCGACTTTGATTCGTAAAGATTGAATTTCTTTTCTTAGTTCGTCTCCAATGTCGCCACCGCCTTTACTGTTTTCCAAATCGTTTTGATACTTGGCTTTCATTCGCATATTTTCCTCTTTCAGGCTCGCGAGCTGTCGTTTCCACTCTTCGACGTTGGCAGTGCTCTCTTGCAGGGCGCTGGTGAGCCGGGCATTGTTGCTTTTCAACGTTGTCAATTCTATTTCCCATTTTTTCGCATTAGCCGAACTGAAATACAAAAATGAAATTTTAATATCTGATAAGGATCCCCTATCTTTCCTCAATCACATATCTATTGGAAACTTCTTTTATATGTAGCACACTGAAGTTGATAAATTAATGAATACTTTGTGCTTCCTGAAAAAAATAAATCATTGGCTATTATAAAGTTTCTACAAGAGTAATTGAAGGTCTATCTGAGCATTTGAGCAAGCTCTCTTGTAATTGACGATAAACTTAAATTTCAAGACCATATTCCGTGTTTGAACATAAAACTCGCTAAAGACTGATTCGTGATTTAATCTCTACAGTGGGTCTAATGAGCTGGATATATCATCACTTATCTGCAAGATCTGTGTATTTTTCATTTTCTGGCACTCATTCAAGATAGGTATAGTATTGCATTTTGCATTTTGGGGTTTCCGCAGTCTAAATCTTTTGAACGTATGTCTTGACCTACAGAAAAAAACTCAAGGCCGTTATTTAGGAAAAATAAAATTCTAACTTTGCACTGTATTTTTGTTTTAGAAACTGTGTAAGCTTACAAAGAACTCCGTATTGAAGAAAGTATTTTTATTGGTTAGTTTGTATGCTCCATTTTATATAAAAGCTGCAAATCTATATGTAGGGACTGCTTCTAGAGAATTCATTATTTGTGTCGACTTAGTCGATAATTACTGCTACATATTGAACATCATTTTAGAGTCAAACAGGACACCCAGATTTTCGATATAAGAAACCCGAAGGATGGTTAGCTCCTGAAAATATGTACACAGATTTTAAATCTGCATTGATTTTGTACGATTTTGAGGATTTTGAAAATCTTCATATGATTTTACAGGATTTTAAAAGATTTTAGGTGATTTTGGAGCAATTTACGGAAGTGAGAAGGGTTTTTAGATCCTAAAGGATTTTTAGATTTTAACGGATTTTTGGAAATTTTGAAGGAATTTTTTTTTTTTTTAGGAATACATATTATTATGATTTATGCAGTTAAAAGTACCCTTTTAACTCCTGCTTTAAAGGTGTAAAGTGGGTCTTTTAATCCCTGGGATTAAATTTCACTTTATTTACCGGGGATTAAATTTTTACTTTATTTCCCGGGGATTAAATTTTACTTTATTTCCCAGGGGATTAAAAGTACCCTTTTATTCCCTGTTTTATTTAATCCCCGGGAAATAAAGTAAAGTGCATAAAATAGTGTATACACCTCAGGACTAAGGTGTTTTTTAATCCCTTGACAAATTATAGCCCTCCCTTCGGTCAGGCTATAAACTTTTTGTCTCGGGATTAAAAGTACCACTTTAGTCCCTAGGTGTATAATATACTATTTATAAGATTTTGCCGGATTTTTTTTTGTTCTAATAAAATTTTGTGTGATTTTGTGAGATTTTATGCGATTTCAAATGATTTTTAAGGGATTTTGTGAGGTTTTGTTAAATTTTTAAGGATTTCCAGGGATTTTAAATATATCTTACAAGTTTTTCTGGACTTGTACACAAATTTTAACCAAACAATCACTCCTAGGTTTAGTTAACTCTATAAAATAATGAACACATATTTTTAATCTTACCTAATTGATTTTGTAGGATTTTGGGAATTTTGAAAATTTTTACACGATTATACAGGAGTTCAAAAGATTTTAGATTTTCAAAATTTTAGGTGATTCTAGAGCATTTTAGGGGTTTTTGAAAAGTTTTTAGAGATTCTTAATTCAAATGACAAATTTAAATGGAAAAACGGAAATTCCTAGACATTTTACTATAGGATCTCATAATACTTTTCCGAATTTCATCAAATGATTCTATGGAATTCCACCATAAAATTCAATGGAATCCTTGGACAAAAATTCCTCGGAATTACACTACTTATGAGATTTCATGAAATTCTTCGGCATTCCACTAAAATTTCTGCAAAAATATTTGTTAATTGCATACAAATTTCTTTAGAATTTCACTAGAAGATTTTATGGAATTCCTCAAGATTCCATTCAAATGACAAATTTGAATAGAAAAACAGAAAGTCCTAGAAATTTTACCATAAGGTTTCATAATACTTTACTGAATTTCACCATAAGATTCCATGGAATTTCAACCAAAAAATTCCTCGGAATCACTGTAGAGGATTTAATGAAATTTCTCGGAATTCCACTAAAATTTTATGTAATTTGACAGAAATTACTCAGAATTTCACTAAAATTTAATTCATTTCTTCGGAAATCCGTCGAAATTTCTCGTGGTTCCATGGAAATTCTGTTTAATTCCAAGGGAATTCTTCGGATTCCATGTAATTTCACTCGAATTCCACAATAAGATTTCAAGGAATTCCATGTATGTAATTCGACGAGAATTCCTTGGAATTTTACTCGACATTTCATCGAAATTTTATGTAAGTCGACAAAATGAAATTATTCATATATAATTTGATGGAAATTCTAAGAATATTTCACAATTTTTTTTTTCGAAATCCCACTGAAATTCTCCAAAATTCTATAGAAATTCCAAATTCTATAATTTTTTTAAAACTTTACTGAAATTCCCCAAAACTTCACCACTGAAATATCCTAGAATTAAACAACAATTTTCATAAAGTTTTTCGGAATTTCACTGACATTTCCTGTAATTTCTTAAAAAGTCCTCGGAATTTCACTAAAATTTTATGAGAATTTTTTGAAATTTCACGGAAATTTCACTTTATTAGTCGAAAATTTCTCGAAATTCCACTGAAACTTCATTTTTTTTTCAAAATCTATTTTCATAAGAATTTTTCGGAGTTTCACCGAAATTCTCTTTCAATAAATAGTCAGGAATTTCTGAGCATATTAATGAAACTTCAAGTAATTTCTTGAAAATTCACCGAAATTCCTCTGAAATAAACATATTGAAATTTCATATCATTACATGGGAATTTTTCCAAAATTCACCGAAATTTTAAGTTTTAAGCCAGAAATTCCTTGGAAATTCACTTGTGAAATTTTCTCTAATTTTACTAAAATTCAGTAATTAGATGGGAATTTTTCAGAATTTCAATTTCACTAAAATGCCATATTTTTAATTGGGAATTCCTTGGAATAAAAATAAAACTTCATGTAAAATCATTTTTCGGAATTTCACTGATGGAATTCCTTATGAAACGATAAGAGTTGTTCAAAATTCCACTTAAATTTCAAGTAATTCCCTGACAATCCCTTGGAATTCCATGCAATTGCATCGGAGTTCCATATAATTCGACGAAAATTCCTCGGAATTCATGTAATTTTTTAAAACTTTTTTAAAATTCTTTATGTAATTTAACGAGCACTGAAATTTCATCATGGGAATTTCGGTGTAATTCCATGTAGTTGTTTAGAATTTCTCCATGCAACACATTCAGGATTTCATGTAATCCGATCGAAATTCCACTGAAATTTCATGTAATTTCTCGAAATTTTCTGTAATTCGAGAGGAACTAAAATTTAACGTGAATTCTATGGAACCTCCGCAAAAATTTCACGTCACATTTCACACCATAAAATTCAATGGCATTCTTGGAATTTTTTTTTCATCGGAATTACAATACAAGATTCCATTCTTCGGAATTCCACTAAAATTTCAAGTTATTCCATAGGAATTCCGCGATAATTTTGGTCAATTCCATAGAAATTCCTTAAAATTTCACCAGAATTGAGATTTTATATATAAGGAAATATTTTGAATTTTTTGTCATTACATGGGAATTGTTCGGAATATCACCGAAATTCCATGTTTAGCCGGAAGTTCCTCGGCATTCCATTTGTGGAATTTACTGGTATTTTACTAAAATTCAGTAAGAACTGAAATTTCATGGTGGGAATTTCGGTGTAATTTCATATAATTGTTTAGAATTCCTCCATGCAATTCATTTAGGATTTCGTGTAATTCGATCGGAATTTCACTGAAATTAAATGTAATTCGAGAGGAACTAAAATTTAATGTGAATTCTATGGAAACTCCGGAAAAAAATTACACATGTAATTTATTTTTCAGAATAACATAATTCTACCGAAATTCCTCGAAATTCCACTAAATTATGGAATTCTGAGAGACTTTAACAGATTTTTGGGGATTCCAAAGAATTTTTGGGAATTTCAAAGGAAGTATTTTTTAGGAATGTTAATGATTTTATAAGATTTTGCAAGATTTTTTTGGTTTTAATGAAATTTTGCAGGATTTTATGCAATTTCAAGAGATTTTGTGGAATTTTGTTGAATTTTTAAGGAATTCAAAGATTTTTAGGGATTTTCAGTAGATCTTATGAGATTTTCTGGGATTTTGACCAACTTGTACACGGATTTTGACCAGTTAACCACACCTCGGAGAAACCCTATTTAAAAAGGTATTTTCTAACCATAGTTTATTATTGTAGACCCACATGAAAATGAAAAAACAGAGCACTTGGCAAGGTTTAAAAATAATTGATTTTCATTAAACTGATAAAAATTATGCCATCTATAGGAGACAAAACAATCTCACAAAAATATGCATTGATCAAGGAGTGTTTTATTATGTGTATTTCAGGCGTTAAAGGCATTGAAAGTCATCAAATTTCACCTTAGAGGATACTAATAACTCGATTATAAATGATAATAACAAAATATCTTAATGCTTTGCCAACCAATTTCAATTTGTATTTAAATGACAATTAGAAGAAATCCCCATAGGAAATCACAGCAGTGGATTTTACTGCAGAGAAAGTGTAGGCAGCAATAAAACAGCTCAAAGAAGACTTCAGTCCTGGACCAGATGGAATTCCACCATTTCTTTGTTGAAAAATTGCATACTCTCGTTAAACCACAAAAGCTTGTTATTGGTGAGATATTTGCAAATGGTCATTAACCAGCTCAATGAAAAAGTGCAATTATAATTCCAATATACAAAAAGGGCAACAAACAACTTCCAGTCACGTACAGGCCTATAAGTCTTACTTCCATTCCATGCTGTGCAAGTGTATGGAGAAAATTATCACCGCCGCACTCACTCCATTTTTGAAAGACTTTATCCATCCATTGCAGCATCGCAGCAACTGGTAGGTCTACAGTTACAAATCTGTCAAGGTTACAAAAGCGGACGTTGGCAGATGAATTAGTGTCTTTTGGAAATTTGCTATAAAACTCAAAGTAAGAATTGAGGAAGCCACTTCCCATGAACGCCCGATTTTAAGTCTCTTCGGAATAAGTCTTAGGTGCATTCCTTTTCATTGAATTTATCAGTGACCTGCCATCTGGTCTACTCATATCAAAGTCCTTGTTTATTGATTACTCCGTTATTACAATCCTTTGTTACAAAGAAATGACTTACAGCGTGACATAAATGCAGTAAAGGAATGAAGCATCAACTGGAAATGGCTTCTCAATTACGAAAAATGTCACCTTAGTATAAAGAACACTCAATTCACCTATTTTATTGCACATGTCTACTGCAGAGGTGGAATAGCACAAAAACCTGGGTATTATCATCACCATCACTAGGGACCTTAAGTAGGAAACCCATATCAACATCATAACCACAAAGACCGACATCTTTTTTATCCAGAAAACGATCAAAAATCAATCTGAAGAGATGATATTGAAACTCCACAAGGCCTATGTTAGACCCAAATTAGAATATGCACAATGTATATGGAAGCCTCATTATGCAAAAGACATAGATGTTTTGGAAAGAGTGCAGAGAAGAGTTACAAGGATTCCATCAGACCTGTCTAACCTATCTTACTATGCCAGACTTTCTATAATAAATCTTCCACTACTTAAGCAGCACAGATTCAGCGGAGACTTGATTGAGGCCTACAAAGTAGTGAGCTCGGTAGTGAGTGACCTGCCAACTTTGCACCTGAATGATTGTCCAAATTTGAGAGGTCACTATAAAACACTTGACAGGGAACGTTGCAATAAGCTCACAAGAAGAAATTGGGGCTGGAACTCTGTAACGGATAGAGATCATAATCTCTATCGTTGGGGCACTTCCTGTCTTCTTCTCTCTTGTTGAAATCAATAGAGAGGAAACGTCAATAGAGAAAGAAAAAATATCTCTATTCGTTACAGAGTTCCAGCCCAGATTGTCTACAGCTGGAACAGTTAAAGGGAAAAAACTGTAAAAGCAGAAAATGTTAACCAATTTAAAAACAGACTATTTCCTATCTAATCTTGCCGTTTTATTGAGGATTGGTTGAGTTATTATTCCTGTAAGAGGAAAATAAACCAAGATAATCTTGAATTAAATAATGTACTCCTTTATTTCGAGCCACAGTTTACATTCCCATAGAATGCTATTGTACACAAAAGATAACACAAAACTAGTAATACATACTTATCTTTGATTCTAAAAAAGTTTGCAGTAGAAATTCTGGAACAAAAGCAAACATTGAGCAACATAGGAAAATATTTATTTACTACTTGGCAGGAATTTTCTCAATAGCATCCTCTCATGTAGTCCTGTGATAATTATTATTGTGACAATCGGATTTTAATTCAAATAATTGAAATATTTATAATTTAGCAGTTATCATAAATTGACAATAATTACCTTTGTGCTAAAGCGAGCTTCAGTCTATCATTCTCGTACTTCAATTGCATTTCATTAGAATTATTAGTAGTTCCAGCGCCACCGTAGCTGCCCCCTTTGTCCATTTTACCTTGATGACTGGGGCTTTCCGATCCCTGTAAGCCAGATAACGAGTGAGTGCGTCCACTGTGACTAGATTCGTCCGAATCTTTGGAATTCGCAGTTGGGAGTGCAGCATTACCTAGTAAATTAAAGCCTTATCTTACTGATAAAATAAAATTTATTGCCTTTTGTTTTAATATTTGCGTTCATACCTGGTGGCTCGAGTAAATTGTCCGCGGCATTATCTTGTGTCGCTGCAGCTCTGGCATTGATTGGACTAGCGTTTGCGCTGGTTACGGGTGTCACAGCTGAGCCTCCGTTGGCCGTGACTTTGCTTATTGCTGTACGAGTGGCTTCTTTGACTTCATTAAATTTATCGATAAATTTTTGTAGCTCGGCTTCAGAGGAGAACCCCAAACCGTACACTGTGTTGGCCCTAACGTCTGACCATTGACCGAATTTTTGAGAGGTTTTCGTAAAAGTCATATTAGGAGTGACTGTGCTATTTATAACGGCTTTTTGCCCTTCGACGCTGATAATTCTGTACAGGCTACGGGAGGAATCATAAAAAAATGACACGCTCACCGCCGTACTCGAGGCTGGCATCCATGATCTTTTTGTTTTCGGATCAATGTGAAATACGTGGGCCTTACAAGTGAAGATTGGTTGTTCACTGGAAGGCAAATAACTTACTTTGAACTTTTGACAATCTAAAACTGAACTCATTGGTTAAAAAGAAAAAACATCCCAATAATAATAGAGGTTTAGATGTTTATTGATAAATCAATATTAGATGGCTTGGCTGCAAGAAAGCTTGTGTAATAGCTGTATTTTAGTTAAAAACCAAATAGGTGGAAATAATATAAATTGTAGCATCTCCAGCAATTACAGAATGGAAGCACCGATTGGTGCAGTTTGGTTAGATGTCCAAATAGGAAGTATAAAAATATCCCTTGCATGCATTTATAGGCCAGGTACAGGGTGGTCTATTATAAATGTAACCCCCTGCTAACTTTTTCATTTGACGTTTTTGACAGAAGTGTCAAATACAAAAGTTTCAAGAAATTGTCAAAAGTTTTTAACTAAGTCAGTTTTAGGCATACAGGGTGCGTCAAAAAAGTGCAGAAGTGTGAAGTTATATTTTTTTAAATGGAACACCCTGTATATTGTGCATTGTGCGCCTATTTGTTAGTCCCCTTTAACCTGATTTCAACAATATATGGTTTGATATGTTTATCCCTCAGTTTATCTCCAATAGTTATAGGGAAAAACGGGAAAATTCCTTCTAGGTCTCTCATGTTATTTTTTTTTTAAATAATAATAATAGCTTAGACATCTGGATTTATTATAATATTTCACCTTGTATATCTATATATATAAAAATCAAAGTTCGCGGGATATCCGGATATGCGCTCCAAAACCACTTATCCGATTACGATGAAACTTTGGTAGGTTGTTATGGCCATCCCAAGGAAGGTTTGTGGATAGGTTACGCATCTCGGAAAAAGAAATTAATTTTGAATTAATTATTAATTTAATTGTAAACAAACTCATTCACATTACATAACAACATAAACCAACTTTTTTTGACAGCATGAAATAACGCCATATTTCATTTATTTAGGCTTGCATTCAACCAACGTAACTTTATTATTTTTTGAAATCAAGAACGGCTGGACCGATCTTGAATTAATACCACGTATCTCTATATAAGGTGAATTCGATTGACCCAGATTAGATCGATTTGGGTTCAATTTAAGTGAACTTCTTCTGATCTAGATTATTTTTTTGTTGATGAGGGTGCACTGATCCAGCTTGAATCGAACACAGTGTGGTTCATTTAAATTGAACCAGATCGATATAATCCGGTCAATCGAATCGGCTATAGAGGGGAGTAATATAGAATATAGGCTATTTCTTATCCCGAAAAAAAAAGTTCGGTTGCGTAAAACTATGATACACTGGAATGCCTATAAACAGCCCGGGCCGCTCTAGAGCAGCTCTGGAGTGCTTAAAATGCGTCACTGAACTCACTGGCAAGCGACTCTGATATCGGATTAAAAAAATAATAATTAAATAGAAAATCAACAACAAAATTTGAAAAGAAGTGTATTATTTCAAAATATATTTACATGCTGGCAACGCAGCGGGTTATTAGCTAGTTAATGAATAAAATTTTAACAATAAACTGATAATAAAAAAAAATCTATAAAGCTTAAATGGTATAATTTTCCCGAGAATTTTCCTTTTTTCAATATGAAACCTTAAAAGGGGTTTTCATGTTTTTCCCTATAACTGTTGAAGATAGACATATCAAACCCTATATTGTTGAAAACAGGTTAAAGGGGACTAACAAATAGGCGCACAATATACAGGGTGTTCCATTTAAAGAAATATAACTTCATGCTGCTGCACTTTTTTGACGCACCCTGTATGCCTAAAACTGACTTATGGCGTTTCCGATTGGTAGATTCAGTGCGCACTGAGTGTATTTACATCCTTTTGATCGACCTATAGAAGAAAAAGAGAGGAATAGAAAAAATTGCAATAGTTCCGCACTAGATCTACCAATCGAAAACGCCATTAGTTAAAAACTTTTGACAATTTCTTGAAACTTTTGTATTTGACACTTCTGTCAAAAGCGACAAATGAAAAAGTTAGCAGGGGGTTACATTTATAATAGATCACCCTGTACTACGACCAGTGAGGAAGCCAATATACTTATGACAAATACTATAAAAAAGGCCTACACCGAAAACCACCCCATTTATATTGTGGGAGACTTCAACTACCCAAACATAAACTGGGAAAACCATATAATTGCACCTCCAGACAAAAAAACACAGGAATTTATAGACATGTATCTTAAAACAAATGTGCTTCAAATTGTGAATTTTTCAACAAGGTACAGGAATCATCAGATATCACTTCTGGACCTTTTTCTCACTAATGATCCTGAAAGCATCTTTGATCTTTCTACAGAACCTCCCACTGGCCGCAGTGATCATGAGTGATTAAGGCTAAAACACTTTTAAAAATTCCATCTAAACAAACATAAAAGATAACTAGAAGACATTTTCTAACTGCCAATTATGAGGAAATAAATAACCTCATCAGACTCCAACCAACAAGACAAGTAGATCCACAATTCGAGAACTTCCAGTGTGTTATGAGAGATGCAGTGGAAAAATACATACTGGTCAAACCAGTAAAAACTAATTCACAAAAACCATGGATAAACCATTATTTATTCAGGGAAATAGATAAGAAACGTAGATTATGGGATAAATATGAAACAAATAAAACACTAAAAAATTACCAAGCTTACATGTTACAGAGTAACAAAACTAAGCAGAAAAGCAGAAGCTGCTTGATGCCCAGAAAAAGTATGAAAATGGTCTTGCAAATGCGGATTCACCAAGTATATATGTCGAAACTTGAATTCCAAGGTATCAACCATAATTTTAAAAGATCCTGCACTCGATCCTGCATCTGAGCAGTTTTTGGATGGTGTAGCCATGGCAGAGAAATTTGCAGAGTAATTTGACACAGCATTTACAACTGAAGCTTATCAGGCTCCAGCCCTGCATGACAATATAGTGGAGAGGTCTATCGAAGAAATACAATTTACAATTGATAAAGAAGAACAAGCTCTGAAATGTATGAAAAAAGACTCAAGCCCAGGACCTGATGAAATCTCAAAAGTTCTAGCACCTTGGAAATATTCCATTGTCACGCCACGGTACAAAAAAGGAGATCGACATCGACCAGAAAATTATTGCCCTATTAGTCTTACTTGTAACCTGCTGAAATGTATGGAGAAAGTTAAAGTTTAGGAACTAATATCTTTTTTTCTAGAGAATATTCTCATACCTTCAGCCCAACATGGATTTCTACCAAAACATTCTACCCTCAATTCTACCTCTACCAATCTTTTGGAATGTCTAAATGATTGGACAAACAACCATGACAATGGCCTACCAACAGATTTTATCTGAACTGAAAGAATACTCAGAAAGAATAATTCATTATGGTGCATAAACTAAATCTCATATATTCTTTTAAAATATTGTTGAAATAACAATAGCCTCATCGGTTGCGACCGCCTTCATTAAATGCAAGTATAGTCTCAGCTTGACCTTTAAAATAATCTAAAGAATTTCTGGTTGGAAAATAGGTACACAAAAAATACTAATTATAGAGTTCTTATTCTTATAGGAAGTGGGTAATAAGATTTGTACTGTGATTGTACTCTTACTACTCTTGTTGAAGGTCCTATTTTAGCATAATTTGCTTAATAATTCACTGGAATTGTAATCTACATCCATTAATTTTATTTTAATTAATAAATACAAGGAAATATTCAATTAGTTATAGAACTATTAGGTCAAAAAAGAAAAAACAGAAATGGGTGTGATTCCTTGGATTCTTCAAAAGCCATGAGAAATGCTTTTGTACGAGTGAATTTTGAATGGTATTTAATGGGTATTATTTATGGTAAACTTACCCCATCGTATCCTTGCCGGAAGTCATGAATTAAATTGTTTAATTTGGGTAAAAGTTAACAACAAATTTTGAGGGACAACAAAAATCCTTTTTTTAACTTAACTGAAGTTGACAAGGGACAGCTCTCGAACGACTTTGAACTCGTTAGGTCTGTTCGCACAGAAATAGGTCATTGTTACAAACGTACAAACCATTCAGAGTGAATTTCATTGGTTGAAACATGTTGAAACGTCACTGTAGTTGAAACTACCCTGCGTTTTTATTCTCATCAAATTTTACCGATGGATCCACCATTCTATGTCGGTCATTGTCATTTTCCATTCACTAAACAAAAGATAGCTAACTCATCGGTGAATCCACCGATGAGAATAAAAACGCACATCTAGTTTTCTGACTGTTGTATTTCAGGGTTGCGTTTAGAAATAGCACTCTGGGTGTGGGAGTAACCCTAGAGTAACTCTAAACCGTTCATAAAAAAAAAAATTAACAGGTGCTTACTCGGAGCCGCTGGAATCGTTCAGAAATCGAGAGTTGACGTCTGGGTTGAAAAACGCCCCGCGTTTTTTACCGGGTTTGACGTTGACAATAGAGTTCTCATGCCTCAGACGCTACGCTAATACGGTACCGCTAACAATACGGTATTTTACATAGTATTTTATAGTTCTCGTACACGAATATGCAAAAATCCTCCACACAATCCTGTTCATATTTTGACAGCTGAGTTGAGTGATCTAACCCAACTTTTTTTTGCTTGTTTGCTAACTTTTATTTATCCTTTGATGTTTTTTGTGGAGGAATTATTAGAAGTTGCTGTTCTTGCAGACGTAAATAAAGCGTTAACTAATTTTGACATAGCATAGCGTTACGGTAAGACATCCGCTAACTCCCGTTAGGTAGTGGGCTCCGCTCAAGGCTCCGCTATAGCTAATACCTTAAGAACTGTCATACTTGTCAAATAACTTTACGGTATTTGAAATTTGGACAGCACGAGAACTCTCTAATTTACCGCAACGTCCCAATACGTTCAGAAATAGCGCACCCAGACTGCACTCCAAGTGATGACGTCAGAACACTCTGACAAACAACTACTCTACCTTCACACTTCATTTCTAAACGCACTCTTTTTAGTCTAATGGCGTTTCCGATTAATACATTCAATGCGCACTTAAGTGTATTTGCATCCCCTGAATCGACCTGTAGAAGAAAAAGACAGAAATATAAAAAATGCACTAAATATATAGTTCCGCACTAGATCTACCAATCGGAAACGCCCTAAGTTTACCGACTTAACCCGGGAATGACTTGCTACTGAGGAACCGGCTCTGACTTGGTGCTGACTGGTTTGTGATTGATGTTGCTAGAAAACAGCACAAAGTTTTTAAAGTCCAATTTTCGTCAATAAATGGCAACACTCGGCAACACTACAGGTTCAGTTCAGTACAATCACCAGTTCCTAGAGAAATCTAATAGTTGGGGAGCTGGCGTCAAAAACATGCAAGAGTTTTCGCAAGGCGGATATTTTCAAAATAGGTCGTACTTTAGTGTTAGAATGCTAGTGTACAGTCAGCACTCACAGTTCCGGGACAGCTGGCTCTGGGACGCGGGCAAAGTTGTAATTTCAAGAAGCATCTAAACTGTTTTCTCAAAGCTCAAAATTTATAGAAATTTTGCACATTATCTGTTTGAAGGTCACAGATAACGTATGTAAATCGTCAGACGTCTAGTTCGTTGCAAAAAGGGGGTCAGACGGCCTCAAAGTTTTTATTTTATGGCATTTTCTTCGGTGTCCTGTCAAAATATATTTTTGCGGGTATTTGACAAATATATTTGAAGAAAATGCCATAAAATAAAAACTTTGAGGACGTCTGACCCCCTTTTTGCAACGAACTAGACGTCTGACGATTTACATACGTTATCTGTGACCTTCAAACAGATAATGTGCAAAATTTCTATAAGTTTTGAGCTTTGAGAAAACAGTTTAGATGCTTCTAAAAATTACAACTTTGCCCGCGTCCCAGAGCCAGCTGTCCCGGAACTGTGAGTGCTGACTGTACACTAGCATTCTAACACTAAAGTACGACCTATTTTGAAAATATCCGCCTTGCGAAAACTCTTGCATGTTTTCGGCGCCACCTCCTGGACTATAATGGAATTACTAGGATCTACTGTTTTGTGGATCTATCCTCGATTTTCTGCCTAATTATTATCCAATAGACCTATCTATTTTTACTTGTAGGTCTATTCTCGGAACCGAGGGACAGCGTTCTCAAGAGAACGATTGCTCTGTCTTTGTCAGTATTATGAAAATAACAATATGGGCGACTAAGACAGAACCTTGATTCTCATGAGAACGCTGTTCCCCTGTTTCGAGAATACGGGTCCTGGTATGCGCGCGCAGCACGTGGCAATGCCTTTTTATTTGCTAACTAGTACAGTGTATTTTGCAAGCTGGGCATCTCCTTGTCCTTGTTCATTGCCCTTGGTTTGACAAGAATAAAATGGTTGATATTCAACGTGACATAGCTTGACAAGTGACATTCAAAAGTTGTTTGAAATTATCATGACAAACACAGAATTTGACAAATGACAAATGTGCAAATAAGTTCTCTTTCCATTTTTCCTTCCCTTTTTATCCCGTGCAAATAAGAGGAACAGAATGAACAGATTGCTAAAGCCTAACATAATTTGGTAAAGTCTGTTTTTTTTTAAAGATAATAAACCTATCTATTTTACCAGACAAAGAGGTAATACGAAAACTTCATTAGATAAAAAAAGACACAGAACGCTTATTGCGCAAGACGGAGACGAGGCGAAACGTACCAAATTATGTAGACTTTACGTATAGCAATCCGCCCCTCCTATTTGCACGGGATAAAAAGGGAAGGAGAAACTGGAGAAAGACTTCGTGTTGTGCAATGTATTTGTCAATGGAAATTTCAAAAAACTTTTGAACGTCACTCGTCAAGCTGAATATCAACCGTACTTTTATTCTTGTCAGGCCACGGGCAATGAACAAGGACAAGGAGATGCCCAGCGTGCAAAACGAACACCTCACACCTGTACTAGTTAGCCAATAAAAAGACATTGCCTCGTGTTGCGCGCGCATACCAGGTAAAAATAGATAGGTCTATTCCCAAGTCAAAAATTTAGTAAACTGCGACAACTGAGTGAACTTTGGCCACGTATATGAAGTAGCAGAGGGGAAAACGAAAACCTATACTTGGATGTAAAATGACGGTCATTTATTTTTTTTGATAGGTGACAGCACAAAACGTGACAGTAATTTTTTTGTCATTTATTGTCATTTATGGTCATTTACCTTCAATGTAGAACATAGCATAACTTAGGTCAATAATCAAATATCTAATTGGTTCTTCTTTACTTTCACAGTCATCAGCATCAAAGTCATCTAATGAGTTAGAAAGTACAGCTTCCATCTACTCCATATTAGATTGACAGTAAAAATCAAATGTCAGTTGATATTTCTTTGACATTGTCATATATTTCAATGACGGTCATACATTTTAATGACGGTCAGTTGTTATTTTGACAGTCAGAAAATTTAATCGGTAACAAAATAAATGACAAGAGTGCCATAAAAATAAGTGATGTGACCGTATAATAGTTGTAGGTTAAACTGGGTATTTAGGATGTCAAATCCTATTTGGGAATGGAAATTGATTCCTTTTTTTTTTTTTTTCGTTTTCTCTTATTCTAATTGAATTGCGCGTGCTTTATGCCTAAGAATGATACGTCTTTGCTAAATTTGGCTTTATAAATGCGCGCGTTAAACACTGAAAAAGGATACCGGCAAAGTCCTCACACTTCCAACAAGTAAAATCAGTTGCCAAAAACACATCGCTCGCTTCGTGTGGTTCGAAAAAATAGACCCGCGGTTTTTCGTTTGCCGCGACCGGTTAAAATCAAGACGGCTTCGTTGCACTCCTTTGCATTGGACCTGAACTTCCTGAATGAGCTGGCCAGCTGAGTGGAGTTTGGAAGTAGAGCCAGGTAAGGTGAAAAAGTATCCTTTTCAGTTTCGATATCTTTCAATTTCATTTTAAAATCTTTGATCGATTACCATTCTATCAGCAACCTCTGGATTTTCTAGTTTTAAATTTGAAAGCATTAACAACAATTTTACATTGTATTGCCAACATAATGTCATTTTGACTTTTATCTTTAAAAAAAAACAGACATTACGTTTGGCCTCGTCTTGCGTAATAAGCGTTCTGTGTCTTTTTTTGTTTAATGAAGTTTTCGTATTATTACCTCTCTGTCTGGTAAAATAGATGGGTCAGGTCTCTTAATTCAATGCCTACTAATAGCGTTTTCCATTTGTCGAACCAGTGCAAAAAAAAATGCATCCTTATCCTTACATATGTTACATGCTTTTAGAAAAAGATGCGGATACGATACACTCAGTGCGCACTGATTGACAAATGGAAATCGCCATAAGTACTCATTCGAGAAAAATGTCTGTCAGATCTGCATTACGTCTGAAGACCAAAAAAAGACGAAAAAGACGTTTAGGAGACTTTAATAAGATGTCGTAAATTTACATCTTAAAAACAACTGACAAAACATAAAATTTGGTACAACCGGGCCTAAAAGTGAATAATGGTTTATGTATTAAAAAGAGATTTCAAAGAAGTCTTCAAGACATCTGCCCACAGAATTCTTTTCTCATCATTCAATTTAGAACACCCAGTAAATGTTGTACATCCAGTAAAAGATGTGGCAACTGCCTCAGCCTTCTCTATGAAATGCCAGACATGTTATGTTCAATAGGCGATAAGTCTGGTAACCTTGTGGACCATGAAAGAAGAGTTACATTAGCTTATTGGAGGAAGTATTTCTAGTAACTGCAGCAGTATGTGATCTCGCATTGTGTTGTTGAAAAAATGGATCTTGCGGTTGCTGGAGGTTGGGTAACGCGGCAGGTTGTAATACGTTATTAATGTAGGATTGAGCATTCATGTTTCTATCCAAAAAAACTAGAGGCCACCTGCTTTCAACTGCACTGGCACCCCAAGCCAAGCCATAATGCCCCTAGTAAACGCAGTCTCACGCTTCATGCAAAATTGAAGTTGGTGCCTTTCTCCACGTCTGCGACAAACTCTACAGCAACTGCAAGATCCAAGTTTTCAACAAGGCAATGCGGAACCACTTAACGCTGCAGTTAGTAGAAACTTCCTCCAACAAGCTAATATAACCCTTCTTATTCCATGGCCCGTAATGTCACCAGACTTATCGCCCATTGAATATGTCTGGGATAAGGATAGGTAGAAGACTAAGGCAGTTGCCACATCTACGGGATGTACAACGGCAACGTCATGAGGTAAGATTAGCCTGGGAGAAAATATATTTACATTTACTGGGTGTTGCAATTTCTATGCCACTCAGTATATATGGACATTGAAAAAATCTGACCAGACAAAGAAAACAGGCTACTAGAAACTACATTTCTTATACAAATTTACAGTGGCTATAAATCATCTGAGCAGAAGTCCACATAAACACGAGTCACACGAGAAAATATTTAAAAAATACCTAGAACGTTGAAAAATAAACTAAAACAAGCATCAAGAAGTTCTAATGAAAAGCTTCAAACCAAAAACCAACTAAAATCGTAACCAAACGTACTTTACTTTTATACTTTTACAATGCTTTCATTGTCTAAATGAGAACATTCAATTGACAAAGCGAAAACCATTATGGATATAAAAGAAAAATAATGTTCATAATTTTAGGCTAGAACACGAAAAATTAAATTAAAATAACAAAATGTTATATAAACAACAAGTATAAATAATAAAAAAATAAAAATAAAAATAGTATTGGCAAAAAAATTCTTACAGAAAACTCATGCTCGACTTTCACCTCCAATGGCAGATAATTGTAAAACTTTTTTCCATTGTATAAATATAAAAGACGTAGAGGCAAGGTCACAAAGGAGGTACAAACAGTACAAAAGCACAAGAAACAAAATAAAAAAATTCTAAATGATATCACAGATGCGACAAAAAATATCTGCAGCTTCAGATAGAAAGGAGACCGCAAAATATCTCTAGCTACAGAAATTAAGAGAACGAAGAAACACAAAAAGAAAAATACAAAACATCAACCTACTTCCTGAATCAAAAATTGGACGAAATGTTATTGTATTGAAAACAAATATTTTGGAGCCATTCTTTCCGGTCTATTGCAAAGACCTTCCAGTTAGCTGCACCAATATTTCCAGCATCCTCGGAATCCCCGTCCGTCCATCCAAGTTTTGGTCTTCCTCTGCCTCTGTTGCCTGTGGGCTTCAAAAATTCGCCTTGTTGGTAAACTTGTCGCATAACGTATGACATATCCTCCCCATCTAAGCCTGCCAATCTTCATCGTGGTTATTTATGTCCCCATTTTCTCACCCTCTGTATATGTAATAAAGTTCAAAATTATATCTACTTCTCCAGACATTATCCTCATGCATAGCACCATATATATTTTCCTTTAAATATTGCTAACAACGTTTTATCTGCTTTTCAATCAATACAATAACAATTTAGCTTGCAACCCTTAGCCCCACACAAGAAGCATAATTTCGATTGACTGGGCACCCTACTAATCACATTTAATTTAGACTAAAAAAAAGGCAATAAACTTTATTTATTTTTAAATACATATATATTTCAACAAAAAGCAGTCTTTTATTTATTATCAAAATGTCTTCCAATTGCAAAAACATCAATCTCAGGCTTCACTTTATCGTACAAATGCGGAAAGTTCCCTTCAGCCTTGTACTTCTTGCGCACTACTTCGTACAAACTCAAATCGAACATTTCCTCAAACTCCGTTCTACTCATAAAAATGTCAGCGTACAAAAAGGAAAACCCGCCGATTTGTCTCGTAAATTCCTCCATGTTTCTCATAGCTTTAACAGCATTGTATGGTTGTTTTCTCCTAACATAACCCGGCACCCCGTAAATCCCCAAATCGTTGTACATGGCATAATTGGTACCATCGATTAAGTATTCTTGTTTGGGTGATTTTATTTGGCCTGAGCTTTTGCCGTGGTTGTAAATTTTGCAAGGGTAAATCAGCAACGGAAAAGTATCAAACAGTTCAGTGGATTTATCGATTTGCTCTTCGAGTTTCCGTATTGGCAAAACGATATCCTGGAAGACTTGTTTCGTAAAAGTGAAAGCTCTTATTCCTGGTGTGGTGGTGAATTTTAAAAAAGCTGGTTTTGGTGGTAAAAGCCAACCAAACAACCATCTGAATATAAAGTGGTTTCCAAAAGGTATCATTGATTCGACGACCCAAAATATAGCTCTATTGTGTCGGAGTAAATATTCTCTTAAAGGTATTAGCTCAGTGTGTTTGCCTTTACTCAAAAATTGTTCGACATACTTGTAAAACCATGGCTTATACCAAGCAGATAAGTGATTTATTGGTAAATTTTTATCATAGTCACTGTAATCGCCAGTCATGATCACCGCCTCGTTTTTATTATAAACTGTTGCTTCAACATAAGTAGCTACAGAATAGTCTGAGCCACTATCACCAGATAACAATCGAATAATATCACAATAGTTTTTTTGGCCTTTTACAGGTAAATAAGTCATTTTAATATAAGGTTTCACTTTCACGATTTTTAATGTTAATGCTACCAAAAAGCCTAAACTACCATGCGACCAAGGCAAACATTTATAAAAGTCTTCATTTTCTTGTCTAGAAGCTCTAACAAAACTACCATCTCCAAGTACCACTTCGTAACTTTCAATGTTTTCTTGATACAACCCGACTTTATGTGAATGGGTAGTCATTCCAGTACCCATAGCTAGACCTCCCAAAGTAGCATCAGCTATTTCCAATGTCACAGCTAAAGTGTAGCCTTTCGGTATAAGGTAATTGGTGATTTCACCTACGGTAACCATAGGTTCTACTCGAACTGTTAAACTGTCTTCATTCAGTTGTAAAATGTTAAAAAGGTTAACGTCGACTTTGTGACATTGGGATTTTTGGTAAAACGTCGTCGATAAGCTGAGCCAATTTGGTCTCGAAGTGCACAATAGTTTTCTGTTTTCTTTGGGCAGTTTGTTGTAAAGCTGGACTTTTGTTTGGATATTTCTTACGCGTTCATCGTGTGATTCAGCACGTCCAAATATGAGTTTTTGAAGTTTGTTGTTTAAGTTTAAAAATAAGTCAAAAATTAAACTGGCTGGTAGACAGAAGAAGAGGATTACCAGCCCTCTGTTTTCCTCTAGGATATTAATTATAACATCTTGGAAAGACATGATCTAAAAATAACATAATATGGTTTATTTATGTAGGATTAATATTTCATTACTTACCCGGATCAAATCTGTCTATAGAAATGTTATTTTTATTTCACCAATATATTTAAAAAACAAAGGTTAAGTGCGGCTATCAAATTTTTTTATAAATAAATGAGTTATCTTCCCTCCTAGAACATGTGTCCTGTATTAGTTAAGTATAGATAATAATCCAAGCTCAAGGCTAACTGATGAATCCGTACTTATCCTTCGAAAAATTTGAAAGTAAGTACCTACCTATAGTTTACTTTTCTTTCTGTTATACCTAAAATAAGTAATGGTTTCAGATGAGATGAGATGGTGGCAGGTTGTTTCTCATGACTATGACCTTAAGATAAGCCAATATTCTTACAGTATAATAATTAATGGTTACCAAAATAATCAATACTAAAATCAGTGGGCAAAAATGAGATTTTCCGCCAGTGTGTGAAAGGTTACGATACCTATCTAAAAAGTCTTCTAAATTAGCTCAATCTTTCTGTAACAAATAACAACTTGCACTGGCATAAAAATTACAATGATTTGGTCATGGTGTATACTACTATTTGATCTGAATCAGTGTGATGAGGTTTGTTTTGGAAACATCAAGAATTGGAGGATTTGCTGATGATAAATCTCTCTTTTCTGTTTCAGACATTGTTTGAAACGACCAAAACTGTAACTTTAGACATTTTTCCACCCAGACAGTCTTCTCTAAAGAATTTCAATGTTTCATATCGAGTCTGCTAAAACTCAAAGAGCAGGTTTCATAGGCGTTAAAAATATAGTTATCTCATAATTCTTGCGAAGGTTATTCCAAAAAGGAGAACATTCATATCAACTGATACTGATTCAACAACAATTTTTTTTAGTTCTACTGTAAGTAGTCTCCTTTATAAGAGGGATTTCTTCTCGATATCCATACAAGTATATCGAAACTATTCCAAAAATCCTCATTCCTATACTTTAAGCTTAGTTTACAGAAACCTGTAAAAATAATTAAGTAAAATCTCAAGGTAGCTGGTACCTGCGTGCGCCTTTGTAAACAAACATGGGTAAACAACCATTCATTGCAACCAGCAGATTACATATTATTCTCTTAAACTAATATCCATCATGTGACTCTACCTATTAATCATTCATTAGTGAGTATAGGGGCGTGTTGAGAATGTGAAAGTAAATTTAAATTAAACAATGAATTCGGACGGTATTTGTTACAAAGAACAATTAACATTCCTCAAGTACATCAACGCAAATTATTTGTTTTATTCGATAACGATCCTAGCGTTTGCCAGTGTGTTTTTTCTTACATGGATTTTAAGCAAATATACGTTTTTTGAAAAGCAAAAAATCCCTAGAGGAAAACTACCAAAGTTTCCTTACGGTAATTTCCGGGACGTCATCAAACAGGAAACTTCCTTGCACGTGTTTATATGGAAGAACTTTTTGAGGTTTAAGAAACGAGGGTGTAAATTTGGCGGATTGTTTCTGTTTATGAGACCCGTAGTCATTTTAGTTGAAGATGATTTGAGAATTAAAGAACAACCTGAAAAATCTCTGATAGATTTAAACAAGAAGGTGTTAAATAATTTTGTAAATAATTTTGCTTGTACGATAAAAGCACCTTTACAAGACAAATTAGAAAAAAATCAAGATGCCTTATTTGTGCTTAAGGAGTTTTTATTGGAATCTACTTGTTTACTTTTTGGGTTTCAACCTAACAAAATTGTTGAAGACATTAACAAGCTGTTAAAAGACAAATATAAGTCCACATTTAAATATTATTTATATTTAACAGTGTTTAAAAATATTGATAATGAAGTTTATAATCAAAAAGTTTTATTGGATATAATCAATCAAAGAAAGAAAAACGATCTGAGAGAGCACGATTTAATCGATTTATTCATTAAATCGTATAACGAATCAAAATTGGAAGATATAACAAGGGAAATATTCAATTTATTTGCCAATATTTTATCATATTCGTCTTCGACATTGTTGTTTTGTTTATACGAATTGGCTAACAATGAAGAAATTCGAGGAGAAGTTATTGGAGAAATAAGAAGATTCACTAAAAAGAACACAACGATTACAAGTGAAAATTTGGACGAGTTAAATTATTTAGAGGCAGTTGTAAAAGGTAAACATCCCAAAAAGAAAACATAAATAATTCTCATTAATTTATTTCTTTTAGAAACCCTAAGGAAATATCCTCCAGTGGCTACAGAAATCTCAAATAGGAATTTACAAAACCAAAATTTCTTGACTTTCAAGTCAATTCTAGCTTTGCACAGAAATTCGCAAAATTACATAAAACCTGAAGCTTTTGATCCAGATAGGTTTGCTTCAGAACAACTTTTCAAACCAGGAATTTTTCTACCATTTGGATCAAGTACTGAAAATGCTCATTTATGTGAGGGTTTACTAATTTTTATTCAATTTGTATTGATTAATTTTCTTATTGCAGATATGGAACTAGTTAGTCTACAAGTTATCTTAGTAATGACAAGCATATTTTCGACTTTGGACGTAAAAATGAAAGAAGGAGTTACTGACAATTTCAAATTTAATACGAAATTGTTGTATCTAAGCCCTTGCGAGGATCTTAATTTGGTATTCAGGAAAATTAGTTGAAATCAGTAGTGGTTTAGTAAATAAATTCGTGTATATAGTTTATGTTGTTTTTTTAGATTTATATTTTTCTCAATACCGTTTGTGAACATTTGGAAATAGTACACGATGTTGGGGCTAAAATCTTATGGGGAAACCCTAATCCGTTCAAAATTCTTTTAAAGCTACTTTTTTTTATTAAAATTGAATTAAAAAAATCTTAACAATATATGCAGCATAATGCAACAATAAGTACAAAATATGAACAAAATAAAATAAATAATTTACAATTTTCTTACACTAGAGCTCAAGTGCAAATTTGCATTTTCCATTGCCCGCCGCATCTGAAAATAAAACATTAAAACCAAATAAACTCAAAATTACTCGTACTTACTGGCACGATTTCAGCCATCTTTGGTCCCAAGCCCTAATGGCCGCAGTTCTAGTTACCGGAGTGGTACCAGCCGAACAACCACATCTGACGCACTGCTTAGTGATTCTAGGGGTTTTACCCAAATATAAATGGCGTATCGAATCTATCGTTTGACACGTAGTTAAATCACTGGAGTTTGTCAAACATTCAGGCTCAGTATTGAATTCCAACTAAAATGCTCAAGCTTGAAAACCAAAATACCAATAAAAAGAAAACATTCCCCACCTGTAAAGGTAAAATAAGCTGCGACAATTGCGGCGAAGCCAGCACAGTCCTATTATTCAAAGGTTGCATTTGTTGCACTTGAACTTGGCTAGGCAAAAGACAGCAATCGTCGACCAGAGCGTCGTCAGGCTCGTTAACGTTTTGCACCAACCGGCTCAGCAACCGAAACAATAGAGCCAAAACGTCCATGTTGGCATCTGATCGAATAAACACAGGCAGACACGCTGGCCGCAATAACCCCCAAATCCTTATAAGCACCAGCATTTCCCTGAGCATATTCAGCGCTTTAACGTCTTTGATTAGCTCATAGGATTTGCCTATAGATGGCCTACTATCAGGCACCTTAACTAGAAGATTCAAGGCTAAATCGGCCACCCATTGAATAAGTTGCTGCAAGCTTTGCAAAGTCGAAGGCTCCACAGTGAATTCTTTAGCCTCCAAGTGCATTAGGACTTTGTCTACATCAGTTTGACCTTCCGCTTCAGTTGACAACGAGTCTGCAGGGCTTTTCTCGTGACTATTCATTTCACTAGGCCTCAGCAGGCTTTTAAAGGCAGTCGAAATACTATGCAACATCAAAAAACTAGATAAATCGTTAGCTTTTGACTGCCCATTGGCACTCAGCCTGTACAAAGAAGTTTTTATGCACAATAGTTGCACATAAAAGTATTGTTGAACAAATTGAGGCTGCCTGCTGAAGCTCTCGGTTAAACGATCACAAACAGCTTCAATCATGCTAGGCCTTAGTACTAGCATCAAATCCAACCAATCAAAACCGCCAATAAGACAATATTCAAGCACTGTAGTGCAATAAGGTACTGTCAAAGTTGAGCTATCGATCTGAGGTGGTAACTTAAATAAATGTAAATTATCATCAGAATCCATTATCAATAAAACATTTCCCAGCCAAGATAAATCAATACTGGCTATTTTGGTGTTGAATTTAGGCATTTTGCTCATTGGTTCATCATATCTGGCTATCGAAAGTGCAGTGCTGGCAATAGGTTTCAATGTGTCCCGATACAAGCAATGAACGGTATTATCAGAAAAAGTAACTACAATATACCCACTTGAAACACTATTGATGAGACTTAATTTGCTAATTTCCAATGCCGTAACTCTACTGCTGTATTGAAAGTGACATTGGTATTGCCACAGGACTGTGTTGTAAAATTGTGAGGTTTCAGAGTTGCCAAAAGACTTGTGGACGGGCAAAGCTTTTTCTCTGAGTTCCCACACTTGCAAGCAACTTTGATTGTCACTGTTGGCCGCTACAACCAATGAATCGGCATCTTCGCGCATTATCCATTTAATGTGACTGATTGTACATTTTTTATCTTTGACAACTTGTTTCAGAGTTTCCTTGGGGGCTTCGAACAAGAAAAAACTCAATAACGATTGACTAGTAATGACGCACTTTTCCTCGACCTTTTTTACTGATACAGTGTAACACTGAACTGGCATTGAGGGGTCTCCGCTGCTGACTGCTATTAAAAAATGACCGTTTTTGCCGTAACAAATATCAGCTGTTTTGATGAAAATTCTTGTCGGTCCTAAGCTTTCTGTTGCCATTACCATTGGGCTTTGACTGGTCGTTTGGGGTAGTAAAATTGCAGCCAACATTCCCGTAGTGGTCAATAATAGGGCCCCATTAGCAGGCCGGCCACCAAATTGCTTGACGGAACAAGCAAATTTAATATTTGAGAATTTATCGAAATAACATGGACTGTCTTTTTTGTCTGTATTTAGGCAGATCTTCTTGCCCGGATGGAAAAATGCCGCGGCTAATATGTGCTCGCCTTCCAAAGGTACTTCCAAATGCAAATTCCATTCGTTTAAAATATGATCTGGGGTCGTATAAATGCGCACGCAACCATTTTCGTCTCCTATCAGTAGGAATTTACCGGTAAAGTCCCATTGGAGTACTGTGACCGGCGAGGACGTCGTTATTATTTTGTGAATTTGCCATGGGGTGTTCAAATCTGCCACATAAACGTTGGTGCTGAAGAATATCGAGTTGTTTTCTTCTATGTTGCTTTGAGTACTAAAAGCGATCACGTTGGTGCACGATATTGCACAAATAATTGATTTGTCGATTCTGAAAACAAAAAATACATAATAATAATAATGATTGTTTATTTTGTGAATCCAAAAAAAAAAAAAATAGAAAATTTGGTTTTCTACAATTTCTATTGGGACTATTGGTTGACCACAATTTTAATTGAAAGCATTTAAAAATACAAAATAAAACAAATTATACACATCAGCCAAAAACCTAATACCTAATAACAAATATGGTGGTCATAATTTTCAAAAAATTACAATAGCCACTTGGTATGGTTTCTAAAAGTTTTTTAAAGTTAAAGCTCTGATATCTGCTGGTAATTGATTTTAACTGTATGCAGCTCTGTAGTGAAAAAATGTTCCTAAAAAGTTCAGAACTATGGAAGGGGATGGTTAAAGAAACTGAAATATGTCCAAGTTCCTCAAAACTCTATCCTTGATTACAAATATCTGGGTTCTTCAGCCAAAATTAGCTTGTCTATACAAATGCAGAGATGCACCCATCTTCTTTCATTCATGTTTAGCCAGTATGTGTTTTTCAAATATGCAGAAATATAGTTTTTTTTGTGGAATTTGTAGTGCAAAAGGGACGCAACAGTTCTAATTTTTTTGTAGCCGCCTTACGTCTTTAGCATGCAAACAAGGACAGTGTCATTTGTCATAGTAATTTAATTTAGACAGCATTAGAATCACCCAGTCTTAATTTTGCACTTTTAGGGAAAATAGTTTTTTGAATTATAAAGACCTTTTAGTATAAGAAAAGATCTTTTAACGGGTTTGTAGTTCTCTCTTTTCAGTTAGCACTGAGGATGGCCGGGAGGCCGAACACGCTCTGCTCAAATATTGAAATAAATATATTTGCTCGAAGTACACTGGTTTGATTTTCCCAGTTAGGAATGAGTTTATGTTCAGAAGGTCTGAATTACCAAAATGATAAAGCCAACTTCAACATCCGGATTGAAATGCTATTAGGATCTATAGCATTAGATTTGATTGTAGAGTAGAGTTTTATTGGTTCATCCAGGCTAGCACAGGTAAAGTTGAATATGACCTTTTTTGAGAGTGCATAAAATGTTTACCTCATCAGGGTTCAACTCATTTACAGTCAAAATATTTTCACTTTTGCCCCCAAGATTTCATAATTTTCCAAAATCTACTAGGGTGAGGGGTCAGTCGCAACATATTTAAGTGTACAAGAGATACTTATATTTATGCAAAAGTTATTTACAGATTTTCCCAGATTACCCGGGATCCCCCTAAGATTTCCTTAAATCTTCCAAGATTTCAATAGATCTTCGGATAGATCCCCATAATTTTTCAAGGATTTCAAATTTCATAGAATACCAGCACAAGTGCACAGCCATAACACAATTCCTGAGGTCTTCTCCTCTAACCCAAAATGTGCATTTTCTCTTGATCTATTACTTTCCTGGAAATATCAAATCTACATTTATTACAATATGAGGCATTGTATTTTTCTCGATATTTTTTTTTCCAGTGGAAAACCTTGATGACATGATATAATCTTCAGTATTTTCAATCAATAGAAAATGGAATTCTGGCCACCAAAATTCTGGCTCTGTATCTGAGAAATTCAAAACTTCACTTCAAGATTTATGAGCCAATGAAGCTTCTTTTTAAATCTTTCTCTGAATCTGAGGCCCAGAAATATGAGCAAACCATTAGAATCTGATGGTTGAAATGCTCAAAAACTCTATATTTGTCATCTGAGTTATATTTTGGCTCTAAATTTGACAAAATCCAAGTACTAGGTACTACTTCTACTTTGCCTACAGGCACTAAACTTGGGTTGGGTTCTTTGGTTTCCTAGCCACACTGATGAGATCTGATAGATCGAAACGCGTCTATGGATGGAAAAACGAAGCAAATTAACCCACCATTCACACATCAGCATAGTGTATATAGGAGAAAACTTGTTTTCCCTATTTTGGGTTTTCCTGATTTTTGGTCTGCTTATTAGACAGTCAGTAATTTTACAGCAAAAAAGTCTAGTGCTGAATCTTAGTCTTAGATGGCGCCACGACTAAAATTTGCTCCTCGTAATAAACAGAATAAAAATACTGAGACAAAATAGTCAAATAATATATCCCCTTGTGAATGACCCCTCGTACTAGGGTAACTCAAAGTAACTGTTACTGTGTGTCTGTAATACGTTTCTTTTTATTTTTTTCAAGGCCCTATTGACATAAGTAGTTCACAACAAAACTACTATGTGAAGGCTTTTGATGAGGTTCCTCTTCCTCATAAGCGGTAAATTAACAAATTAGATCACTTTGTGAGCATCAGAGGAAAAATATTGACAAAATTCATACGTGCAGAACCTTTAGGGTAAGAGTGAATAGTCGGCTATCGGAGACAAATAGTTGTCCAAGGGACAGTCCTTCTGTTTACATGTTATATTGCAGATCTTATCAATTGCCAAGGGAATTGCAAACTAAAAGTAAGTCCTTTGCGGAGGACCGGAAAATATACTGCAACCCACTGACGGATCTGGACAAATCCATGTCAGGTATAAGAATTTTAGAACAGTGCTGGCTTATGAAACTAAACATAGACAAGTGTACCTCAAATTGGAAGAAATAACCCACATAATACACCAACAACAATATTGAAATCTCAGAAGTCACAGAACAGAGAGATCTGGAAGTGATGATAACAGATAATCTGAAATGGGAAGTCCATATAGCTCGAATGGTAATAAAAACAAAGACTCTCTATGGAGACAGATTAAAGATGTTCAATATACCAACCCTGAAGGACAAAAGAGAGAGGAGACCTCATTGAAACCTTCAAAATTATCCATGGCAACTATGATGAAGCCCTAAAAATGGCCTATACTAAATACACACTATAAAAAGATACAAACAGAAAAATGCAATATTCTTCAAAGACACTTTGTTCACAAACCTAGTTGGTAACACATGGAACAGCCTCCCAGTTTAGTGAGTGCAGAAAACAAAAACCTACTTAACAAGCACAATGAAGCGAGAACCAACATGTAGAATGGCAATAAGTACAAACAGTAAACTAATCGGTGACAACTGTTTTCCTATTGTGAAGTAAAATATAAAATGTAAAACTGCCCTGCTGTAACAGTTTTATCGGTTTCAAATTGTAGGCTCGATTGTAAGTCATCGGTGTAAGCTTTTTTTTCAGATTAATGGCTCCTGATGGAGCATAAAAATGATGCAGTTAGTAAAATGATTTGGTTTTTGATCAAAGTCTTCAATATAATACAGTTCATTCATAATCATAAAGGCTTGCATAAAATCAACTGTGATTTCTACACAGATATACAGAGCTTTCATTTCAAAACTTGCCACCCACGTTATCTGGGTAAAGAGACATAAAGTGTGTTTTTTTTTTTAAAGATAATTCCCCATGTCAAAAATTTAGTAACTTTGTTGGCACACAAGCCTTTTCTACATAAAAAATTCGAAAGCATTGACAATTTTACATTGTATAGCCAATATAATGTCATTTTGACTTTTATCTTTTAAAAAAAAACGCATTTTACTTATTTGTGGAAATCACCAAAACACGTCAACAAATTTATTGAGGAGGAAGGTTTTTTACGTAAAACTGGATTTCCTTCCTTCAACCTCCTAACCCTTATGGCTAACACCCCAAAATTTTCCAATGAGACAGGGGGTCAACTGATAGATCATTTTAAAGGGCTGTTTGACCTCGCTGTTGCAGAATACCACCCATTTCAATGTTTAAAAATGCCTATTTATCTTCAAACACACCTGTTGCTGTGATAAAAAGGTAGATAAACAATAAGGCTAAGCACATAGTGGAGCGGCGAGCAGAGCAGCGGGCAGCGTGGAGAGCAGAGCGTCAATTGAGCAGAGAGTGGATGAACGAATTGTATGCACAAAGTGGCGAGTTAATGCTCGAGTGAAAAAGATAAAAATGAATAATTTGGTTTTTTCTGAAACGTCTTCTTTAAAAATTTGGTATTTAAAGAGAAGGCACAGAAAGAAAAAAAGAAGGTGTAGTGCACACCATATAAACAAAAGCAGACTTCGATTAGGTGAATATCACCATTTATGTGAGGAATTACGGCAACATCCAGAAAAATTTCACTCTTATCTTCAAATACTTGTTGACTCCATTTCTCCTGCAACGTCATCCGTAACTTATCTAATATGTATCGGTTGGGGATCTTCTTGGTCCCACAATGAATTTTTAACAAAAATACTACTTATTAATTGTTCAACATCCATTTTTACAACACAGAGACAAACGAGCAAAGTAGAAAAATCAATTTGCTTGAACGCGTCGCTTTGCTCGATATTAACAGCACTGCTAAATCTCCGCACTGCTCTTTACTATGTGTCAAACAATTTAATCTCGTGTGTTAGTTTTCGCTGCTTTTCTCCTGACTGCTCACTACTTTGCTCGTCGCTCCACTATGTGCTTACCCTAAGGTGTAAGATCACAAACTTGATAGAGGTAGGAAACAGTATGTCAAAATCATGGGAACCAAATCCAAAATATATTCCTCCAGACCTGACTCCTTTGGAACACCAGCCCTGGGACTCTGTAACCGATAGGGAGGCACTTACTGTTTTCTTCTCTCTCTTGGAAATCAATAGAGAGGGGACGTCAATAGAGATAGAGAAAATATTACAGAGCCAGAGCTTTTGTTCCAAAGGAGTTAAATTTGAGACCACTGTTATTTGTAACAGCTATTAATGACATTTGTCTCGGCCTAGAAAATTAGAATGCCCTGTTGTATGCTGATGATCTTAAAGTGTTTTTAAATGTGACTAGTAAGCATGAATGTGAGTGCCTGCAGAGAGATTTGAGTAGGGTTGTTGACTGGTGTCAGTGCAACGGTTTTAATTTTAACATGAATAAATGCGCAAAAATGACATTTACACTCAAAAAGAAGTCAATGTTGCTTCAATACAGAATTAGGCAATCTCAATCACGTGATTTTCTAATGGCCGTTCGGGTGAAATATTGCAATGATAAGCCGGTGACGTTTGACGTTCATAAGGAGAGCATTTGTGTTCTGGCCCTTGCTGCTTTCGAAGTGAATTTTATGTGTTTCTACGTATTTTTCATTGGTTTTGGTCATTGTTGTTTTCATAGTGAATTGTGAATTTTATAGTCTTTAGTATTTCTACGTAGGTATTTTTTAGTGTTCTGGCCCTTGTTGTTTTCAAAGTGAATTTTATAGTGTTTCTACTGTTTCTACGTATTTTTTAATTTATTAATAAATTCTGAGATAGAGAGTGAATATCTCAAGGTATTATTACTAAGGGAAAATCAAGCTTTTAGTTGCAGCAATCCATAAAGCCCTGCGTTGTTTTGATAATTCATATTTGTAGATCAAAAGCCAATGATTTAAAATAGCAGGAACTTAATAAAATTTCACATTATCCCTGTTACCTCGACTTCCACACCCAATTACGATGCAAATCGCTGGCATTTTAATTAACACAATACCTAAACACACAAAAAAACACAAAATCCGATAATACAAATCTGGACGTTTGGGACGTTTGTCCAGAATCAATGACATACAGAATAAACAACACAGTGCTTGACCATGGCTTGACCCGAACTTCCATATTGAATTTCGTTTTTGACAGGTCAGTAGATTGCCTAATTAATGACTCCAGTGTCAGCGGTGAAACAACCTAAAAAGACCTGGGTGTTTTGTTGGGAGAGAGGCTAGGCTTTACAGAACATATTGTTAGCAAAATTATTGAGGCACACAGGACGATGGGATTCATCATAAAGGTCTGCCTGAGATTGTTTGACAGTCCTGGTGCTGCCCAAACTGAAATATGCAAACATTATCTGGTCACCTCTATATGAGGTCTGGAGAAAAAAATGGAAATGAAAATGGAAAAAATTCAGAGGAAATTCCTGAAACATGTTTCTTAAAAGATATGGGTACTATCCTCCACAAGGAAACAGTCGCTGCACCCTGCTAAAATTTTTCAGTAGGCTGTCTCTAGAAAATAGAAGAAAAAAAATAAATCTACCCTATATGTTCAAAATCCTTAAAAACCAAGTAGAATGCCCAGATTTCCTTGCAAAGCTACCCTCTGCCATAAATGTGGGTGGCATCAGACAGAAGAAGGTATTCTATTTAAATTTTCCTCGAACTAACTCTTATAAAGTGTCTCCTATGTACCTTTTTGATATTTTTGCCAGCGACCTGGACATAGACCTGCTTAATTTAGAGGCTTCCGCAAAAATAATAGATAAACAACTGCATGAGTCTCAGGAACAGGCCGACTGGTAATGGCTACATAAGTTTCCATGTGATATACTAATTTTCTACTTTTAGATTTAAGGTTGATTAGATGGGTCTGTAAATTGCAATTTGCTGTAGATATGGTGGTGAAATAAATAAATAAATAAATAAATATGCATTTTTAAACATTGAAGTGGGTGTGATTCTACAACAGCAAGGTCGAATTTAAAAAAAATAGGACTGCAAAATGTACAGATTAAACAGCCCTTTAAAATGACCTATTACTTGACCCCCTGTTTCATTCAAGAATTTTGAGGTGCTGGTGGTAGCCCTGGGGGTTAGAGGGTTAAAGGGGCGAAGTCCAGTTTCACATAAAAAACATTTCCCCTCAATAAATTTGTTGACATGTTTCAGCGATTTCCAGAAATCTGTCTCTTTCTCGGTCTCTTCACACAAATAATGTGGGGGCAAGTTTTGAAATGAAAGCCCGTATAATAAATTTGTAGGTACTTAAGGGGTTAAGGGATACTGATACTGTGATGCCTTGTTTCAATTCATGCATTACTGGTATTATGATTTTTAAATAGAGAGATTTGAAAAAAATTAAACAGGGTGTCCTGAATAACTTGAAGTCGAGCTTGAAGTACATGGGGATTTTGGAAACCATTGAAGATACAGGGTGGACCAAATAGGGAAAAAGTTGTGCAGTTAAGTGCATACAAATAATCTGTCATGAAGTTCTTTAAGCACGGAATAGCAATGGATATACAGGGCATATTATACACAAACATGAACAAACACACTTTTCTTTTTTATATGTATATATAACCTAACCTAACTTAATACTAATTCTAAAAAAAAGGATAGGTACTTGTTTTGGGAATTTAATTAAAAACTAGAAGCCCTAATCGATTTCAAATTAAAATCAACTAATAAAATCTTGATTTCTGTATACTCACTTGCTGAAAATTGCTTGCAATTTTAAGGAATTGCTGCCTTTGGTAGGACGATTCGTTACCGAAAATATATGATCCATTTTCTTTATCAATGCAACTAATTAGGCAAACTAAATTATTATTAAATGTTTTGAAGATGAAAGATTTGGGTATTCTTTGGCATTTTCAGCTGAAAAAACCGAAAAGCCCTACAAAAATTTGAAACAACAACAACAAATAAAAATCTCAACAAATTGACAAACGATTTATAACAATTGAAAATATTGACAAGTGACAAATATGTCACAGAGCGATCTGGCATTGGGCAGAGTTGATGATTCTAGGGCAGAGTAGATTGACGCGCTTTGACTCCGAACTCCGATCACGATGATATAAATAAACTTGCATGAAACAAGTAACGTCCACTGAATGCATAAGTGTATCCATTTTAAATAATTTGTTTCTCTTTCTTGTATATAGACCGATCTCTTTCTTTTAAAGACTTTTGACGTTTATCCCTATCCCTTGCCACTAAAGACTATCGATCTCGATCACGATTGGCCGATTCGCAATGCTGTGAATACGCATCGACCAATAAAACGATTTTATTTTAGATTTTAGTGTGATTGAAAAGATGGCCGCTTTACCATCTCCGACACAGGTAGGTGATAAAAATTGGCAAAAAATCGGGTTTTTTAACAACTTTTAACGATTTCTCGCAGTGCAGTGTTTAGCGTAATGCTCTACAAGTGCGTAAATCAAAATTTTGCGGTCCCCAGTGGCAACAGTTGCAAATGCTGTGCGATAACATTTTTGACGTTTTGGTGGGCGGTCTAGGAGAATTCAAAAAAATCGAACTTTTATCAATACATTTTGTGTTTTGACCTTTTTAGATGTTAAATTCCAGCCTAATTTACCAAAAGAATTAGTAAATTTCAACCAAAACAATTTGCCTTTTTTGTCATGCCAAATTTTCTCAAATTCATTATTTTGCACCAGCAATTTAACTCACTTAAGACCGTCTACCAGAGCTAGAATAACATTGTTTACCATAACTCATGATAACCACTCTCTTAATTGCCATCGTTTAAATTGTTCCTTTCTTATTTCAGGTTGCAGGAAATCACAATTATATTTATGAGGCCTACTATAGCATTGTTGATCCAAATGGATTCGGATCAGTGGGTGGTATGGAAGCAGCGAGATTCCTTAAAAGATCCGGTCTGAGCGATGTAATACTGTCTCGCATTTGGGACCTCTCAGATCCCGGAGGTAGAGGCAGTTTGGATAAGGCTGGCATGTTTGTTGCTTTGAAATTAGTGGCTCTCGTTCAAAACCACTTTGAGTGTAGTATTAAGCATATTAACGAAGATGTTCCACCACCAAAAATGGTAAGGTTTTAATTTTTATTGGCGTGTTAACTTAATCCTGTTGTAAAAGAGATTAGGATTATAGTGCGTCAACAATGATTATATTTTCAGGGTGATATTCCATTGCCGAAAACTAAACCACCTCCGCCTACAACGACACCTCTAATAACCTCACTACCACCTTCAGCAGTAGATTGGACCATAAAGCCTTCGGAAAGGGAAAAATATGATAAACTTTTCGAATCTTTACAGCCATTGAATGGCCTAATACCTGGAAATGAGGTATTGGCTCCTCCTAGTTTATTTGTAGCATTATTGAAATTATTTTTTCCTTAGGTGAAAAATGTCTTAATGCAATCCAAATTGCCCTTTGACACTCTAGGTAAAATTTGGGATTTAGCTGATCAAGACAAGGATGGTATGTTAGATCGGCACGAATTTGTCGTTGCAATGCACCTTGTTTACAAGGCTTTAGAAAAATATGCTATACCGAATACTCTACCACCAGAATTAGTGGCTAAAAGTAAAGATCCACCAATGCCAGTGTCTAATTTAATCAATAATAAACCACTAGATGGGGTGAAACCTGTAGTACCTCCACCACCAGTAATGGTAAAAAAAAATATATTAATCAAATTTAAATTATTTTATTGTGCTATTTTATTTTAGGTTCCAGTAGCTAAACCAGTCCAATCTGTTCCTCCAACTCAACCCTGGGTAGTATCAGCCGAAGAAAAATCCAAATCCGATGCACTATTCATAAAAAGCGACATTGACAAAGATGGTTTTGTGTCCGGAGGTGAAATAAAAGATGTCTTTTTAAGAAGCGGAGTTCCTCAGCAAGTTTTAGCTCACATCTGGGCCTTGTGCGACATCAAACAAACCGGAAAACTGAACGGGGAGCAATTCGCTTTGGCCATGTGGCTTGTGGCCAGGTGCCTTAAAGGCGTTGATCCTCCGCAGACTCTGACGCCCGAAATGATTCCGCCAAGCTTTAGAACTTCAAAACCAGTAGAGGGACTTGTGGTGAGTCTACTTTGAATGTTCTCGATTCGCTATGATTTTAATGAAAATGTAGAGGATTACTCCCATGATTAGAACGATTATCAGTAGCATTATTGTGTGGTTGAAGTTGAGTTCAAATTTCTTTTCTATTACCAGGCGAATTGTTCCAGCTAATTCTTTTTCTTGCCAACAACTACAAAAGAATTTTCAGTTATAGTTGGCTCTGAACAAGAATTAATTTACCTATAAATATTAGAATCTGAAATTTTGGCCATCTTTATGTGCACTCTATCTGTGATGCTAATAAAAATCCTCCCATTGGATTGCTTGGCTATGGTTTCAGGAATTAAATTTTTTTCTCCAATTTGCCATTGTTGCGGCACATCACTGTTTATATTTCTAAAATAGGTTTTCAATTAATTTCAATTTTCAATCCTCGAAATTCAATTTTCAATACCCTGGACATTCAAGCACAATATCTTTGCCTTTCACTCCGTATTGCACTTGTCTTTCCACTGTAGGTTCTAGTGGAGGAAGTTTTTGAGTCAAAGAATATATACCATCTGAATTATTAGCTCTTTCAAGCACTTTGCCATCCTTATCCCTTATTTCGAACACTTGACCTTCTGGACATTTTGTCTAAAACATGATTGTCGTTAATTATTTTCCACATTTACAGTGTATCAGGACTTGGTATAGAATTTTGTCTAAAGCTTAGTGGTACGACGCAGAAATTGAACAGCATAGCAAAGTAAAAAGAGATGAAAACTTCAATACCACTTCTTCCATGGCAAATTTTGAATATTGAATGTGTGACAAATGATTAAGGATTGGAAAAAATAAACTAGTCAAAACGAAATAAGAACACCTTTATTTTTATTGAATTTTGAATAACCCTGGTAAAGTGTTTATTTCCATTCACAGTATAAATTTTCTGTGCACACTTTAAGCCCGGGACACATCTATCATGCATTCTTCCGATCCGACTCCGATCATACAATCAAAGTCCTTATTCTTGGAACAGGGAGCAGTGTTCCCATTCGTTCTCCTGGGAACGTTGCTCCCCTGTTCCAAGAATAAGGACCTTGATTGTATGATCGGAGTCAAATGCATGATGCATGATAGATGTGTCCCGGCCCTTATTTGTTTATCTATATTGGAAATGGAAATAGTTACTTTACCAGGGTTTTTCAAAATTTAATAAAAACCAAGGTGCTCTTAAAAGTGGTCTTTATTTCGTTTTGAGTAGTTTATATTCTTCTATTACATACATAAGCAAGAACTTAAACTCCAAGGTGACAACGATCACCCTCAAAGACCCTACCACAAAATGTATTTTTAGATTCAAAATCGATGGCAGAATGTTTTGCTGAACAGTTTGACAGATCATTCAACCACAGCCAAAATGGTACCCACCCTCAATCCTGCACACATCTGACTGTATAATTCAATAGTCAATTGACAGTATACAGTTCATAGAAACAAAGGTCAAAGAGCATTGAAAAACATGAAAAGAAACTTAAGTCCAGGACTTGACAATTTTCCAACAATATTGCTATGAAATTGCAGGGATTCCATTGGTAAACGACTGTCAGAGGTTATGCAGGAGTGTATAGAATAAGGACTGCCAGATCCATGCAAGTTGTCAATAGTTAAACTCTTTCTAACCAAAGTTGAAAGTTGAAGGTCACTTACTCGAATATATCACAGACGTTGCTTTTTGGTGCTGCTTTTATTGCATGCGCACTGTGTTTATTATACCAAAATAGGTCTGAACGTGTGAATCCTATGGTTACAAGAATGAGTAAGTGACCTTCAACGTTCAACTTTGGTTATACAGAGTTTACACCAGTGTTCAAAAAAAAATATGGACATAAGGCAGACAATTACCGCCCCATCAGCCTTACATGTAACCCTTTTTATTTATTTATTTATTTATTTATTTATTCAAAACTGTACAAAAAGTACACTTACAAACTAGGTACAGTGCGACAAGTGAGCGAACCTGTGTGGAAGAAATGCGGGCATAACCCTCCTGATTGGCCCAAGATTAAATATACATATACGCGGGTCGTCGCCTCAGGGTAAACGCAATTTTCGCAATGCACACGTCGGGGACCCGTCGCGTCGTATAGTGTAGGTTTTGTCTTCAACTCTGCTACTTACTACGTTACCAAGGTTCACTCACTTGTCGCACTTTACTTGAAACTAGCGAAAAACAGATTCCAGTAAAAAACTGTCTTCAGGTACTAGGCCTACTGTTCCCTACAAACGAGATCAGAGGACATGAGCAAAATAACAAAAAAGACACTGTAATGATAAATGATTACCTGTCTTGAGGCAATTATAAGTAGTTTTATTGAACTATTGAACATCTCATTCTTCAATAGAAATTCATTACAAATATTTAGCATCTCATTTATAGGAGATATACTTCTTCTCTTATATGCAAAGACGTCCTTATTTAGAATTCGCAGATTCACTTTTGGTACTTTAAATTATCTAGAACAGAATAAATAAATATAACAGCCTGTGCTCTTCTTCTACTCTCCAATGTTTGGAATCCATAGCCTGCAAGCATTGACCTTAAAGATACCAAAAAAGGATAAACATTATTTTTCTTTACACACAAGCATCTTAAGAACCTTTTCAATTAGATCGCTGCCTACAAACGTCACAGGTGCCCACACGTTGGTAGCATATTCCAAGTGTGGGCGTACAAGGCAATTATATAACTTCACGATTATGACAATCTTAATTTTTTTTCCATTACGTATAACAAAACCCAATGCTTTAAATGCCCCATTTATGCAACATTGATGATGGTTGTTAAATTTTAAGTTTCCCTGAAACCTAATTCCCAAGTCTGTTGTTTCGAATTTCTTCTCCAAAACTGAGTTACTAATATGATAATCAGCTGAAACAAGAGATAGCTTTCTAGTATAAGATATAGTAAAACATTTCTCAATATTGATAGAAACTTTATTGTCCAGACACCAATCTGTCACAGCATCCAAATTGATCCAAATCAGTCTGGAACAAAACGGTGTCATTGCGATCTTTGAAATTTATGGAAAAAATAATAGTGGGAAAACTAATTAATTTTTTTTTTTTTGAAAATAACTTAATTCTATCCATCATTCCAACATGGGTTTCTTTCAAAACGCTCAACAACTATCAACTTGTTTGAATGTTTAAATGACCGGACAGAAAACCGTGACAATGCTCAACCCACAAACTTGATTTTCATGGACTATGAGAAAGACTTTGATAAAGTGCCACATAAGCTGCTATGTGGAAAGTTTGGAGCACTTTGGTGTGTGTGGACAATTGCTGACATTGATTAGAGGGTCTTTGGATGAACGATACTACCAAGTATGAGTAAATGGAGAAATGTCAAGCAAATACTTAGTTCAGAGTGGAGTTGTTCAAGGATCGGTGTTGGGTCCACTGCTCTCTACTGCCTATCTATTTGATCTTGTTGATCATTGAAACCAGACTGAAAAAAATTGCTGATGATAGCAAACCTTATGCAAACCCACTACTTAAAGCAAATAAACTTCAGACAGACTTAAAGAGAGGTGAAAACTGGTCAGGGATGTGTGGAATGAAACTGAATGAGACAAAATGTACAGTGCTTAGAATTGGCCTAAACAATCCAAACCAAGAATACTCGTTGAACAGGACAGTTCTATCAACCATAAGAGAGCAAAATGACCTAGGTGTCGGGGTTACATCAGGCCTAAAATTACATTGTAAAAATATCAGAACAAGCAAATTCCTTTATTTCATTAAAAACGCCTTCAAAGTTAATTCTATTGAAATGATAACAAAGCTTTATAAAAGCTATATCAGGCCAAAGCTGGAATACATTTTTACAGTGTGGAACACCTATTACATATATTAAAAACATTGAAACACTGGAAAAAATACAGAGAAAAGTAACCAAAACACCAGAGCTACTACAGAATCTAACTTATACTGAAAGGTTGACAAGAATGCAATTGACAACATTAAAAGAAAGAAGATACAGGGTGTTTCACGAACATCGAAACAGAGACGTTTTGGGGTATTCGATTTTGAAAAAACGCTCGCGACACGTCAATTTTATATTCAAGGGGGAAGCTTTTTGAACCCATCGGTATTTCGCTAGGGTGCACCCCCTGGGTGGGGTGATTTTTACTCCTTTTGTTCAGATAGGGAAGATGGGTCGAGTGATACCTTATTGTTCTAAAGGTATTTTGATTCTCGTCACAACTGTGTACTTTTTTTGGAAATTGAATGATTAGTTCTCAAGATATTTACTGTCAAAGTTGCCATAGGCTAAATAAGAAACAATCTTCTGGCCCTGTTATTCTCAAATTAATACTTTCCTGACTTTCCTTTCGGAGACGTCAATTCTAGTTTTTTTGGAAGCACACACAAAAGGAAAATTAACATGTCCGAGAGGAAAGTCAGGAAAGTGTTAATTTGAGACTAACAGGGCCAGAAGATTGTTTCCTATTTAGCCCATGGCAACTTTGACCAGTGAATATCTTGAGAACTTATGATTCGATTCTCAAAAAAAGTACACAGTTGTGACGAGAATCAAAATACCTTCAAAACAAGGTACTACTCGACGCATCTTCCCTATCTAAAAAAGGGGGTGAAAGTCATCCCACCCAGGGGGTGCACCCTAGTGAAATACCGATGGACTCAAAAAGTGTCCGCCTTGAATACAAAATTGACGTGTCGGGGCGTTTTTTTTAAATCGACCTTAAAATACCCTAAATCGCCTCTCTTTCGATGTTCGTGAAACACCCTGTATAGAGGGGATTTAATAGGAAGATACAAGATAACAAGCGGGTAAGTACTATCGGGTCTTCAAAAAAAAACCAATCGAAGATTGCTCTGATTACGAAAACGTACGTCGCATTGCTGTTTCTTTATTGGTCAGGATTTTTGACATGAAATTTTGATATTAAGTTCATTGACAAAATAAAAGAAAAATTTTGCTAAGACATACGTTTGAAAAACCATAGCAATCTTTGATTGGTTTTTTTTTTGAAGACCCGATATAATAATTGCGATATTGGGCAGATCTTTCACCATAATCAAAATTTCGAAGCTGGAACAGTCAAAGAAACTGGACAAGGGAGAGGCTACAAAATACCAAAGAAATAAATTTTTTTATAATCAATTGGGTAGTTTACTGGTGGAATGTCTTATCAGAACATACAGTGACCGCCCCTAATATAAACACATTTGAAAAACCAATTAGACAGCAAACTTAAAAACAGTGTACTTAGAATGATTCACTATAGTGCATAGTAGTGAACAACAACATAGACTAAACTATAGCTTCATCGCTCCTACCGCCTGCTATTGCAAAATTACCGAATTTGCATGTAAAAACTCACATTGCAATATCCAATCATCACTTCGTTTTTCCTTTTCCGAACTTCCGGAATTTGTCTTATGGCATTTGGAAGTATGTGGCTTTGACACGGGATACCATATTTAAATATATTGAATAATTCTTTAACATCATCTAGTGATGTGTCTTCAGTTTGATTCTCCTTTACTCCAACAATCTCTTTGGAAAAAACTTCACAGTAGCCCAACTTATGCTTTCTACCGATCTCATTACATTTGCTGCAAGGTGTCCATTCTCCCCATTCAGTATCCAATACTAAACTGTATTTAAGTTCTTGAGGTTTTTCTGAGTAGGGACCGTTTAGGGCTGCAGGGCTGTGAACCTCGTTAAAAGTATCCTCAGAAATATTGACTACTGTCAAAAAATATGGAGCCACAATGCTTTGGCCCAGTTTGCACATGTATTGGCCAGAATTTTCAGGTTTTAGATTATAAATGTGCAAAGTTCTGTCTTCTGGGGATACAAGTATGTGCTCCGTGAATTCTATAGGAGACATTATGTCCTCTTCAGGTGAAGCCCATTCCCATTCTACTGAGCTTTTGAGCTCAGATTCAAGGGGATTTAGGCAAATTTTACACTCCATGGCTATAGATGCGGTTTCGAAACCAATTATAGCTTCTGGGGTGATTGTTTTTTGATTGTTCAAATTTTTTGACTGAGCTATTAGGCATTCATAGTATTCATGCCATTTTTGTCTGTTTTCAGCTCTGAGTTGCTGGTTTGCTCCAGGATATTCGCTCTTCTGTTGGCCCCATATATTAATTGCCGAATCTATAATTATTATTACTATTGATTTTAAATAAAGCTCAATAAACTAACCTTTTCCAAATCTTTTCTTGTAAGCTTGTTTAGCTTTTTGCTTTAATTTGTTGATGGAGCTGCTGAAAAATCCACATCCTGTTGCCTGTAATAGGCAAAGAACTAAAAGTAATTGGAATAACTTATTCATAATTGACATTTGTGACAGGAAAACAACAACACGCGTTACTCCAATCCTGAACTGGACATGATCAGTAAAGACATTGAAGAAGTGAGCAAAGAACGTCTAAGTTTAGAAACTGAGATAGCACAAAAGGAAGCTGATATTAAAATAAAGGCAGGAGAAATTAAAAATTTACAGGTGAGTGACAAATAATATTTGCTGAGATTGTTAAGTAACTAAACTTTTTTTTTTTAGAGTGAACTAGATACTCTTGCAGCCACACTGAAACAATTGGAAAACCAAAAAGGGGAAGCCCAAAAGAGACTGAACGATCTCAAAGCCCAGGTAACCTTTTTGGCTTTAGCTATATTGACTTGTTCCAAGCACCCGCTTTTTTAGACCCTTTTATTTGAATGTGGTTTTGGTTTGTTTTTTTTTTTAATTTATTTTCTATAGAATCACAATCTAGAGTTAGAACATGCTACACTAGAGTCTGAAATCTCACTGGCCAGTTTAGAGGTATGTAGGTGGTTTTGGCTTATGTTATTGACCAAAAAAATTAGGCGCTTCTAATAATCTTAATGCTGAAATGGCTCTTGTATCTTTGAGTAATGCAAATATTAGTTTTTTTAGACTGTTGCTTTGGAAGCGTATACATTTTTCTTGCATGGTATTTCTAATACATTAAACTGTTTTACACTTGTGTATTTATATATGTAAGAAAACATTACAGCATTACAATTGAATATGCATACAGGAAATTTTGGTTGTAGAACTAAGCAAGAATATTTGCTCTTCCAATTTTTCTAAAATATAATGGGAATAGAAAAGCAGCAAGGTCAATTTGCCAGTTCAATGTCATCATGGAAGGAGATTCCTTGATGGTTGTTGTTGTTAAATTGTTTTTCTATTAATGCAAAAATATCAGTCATACTTTATTACACAGCCGCTCGCAATAATGATAGAATTAAAGTAGTAATTTGTTCTTACATTGATGATGTAAAATGGTGTAAATGTTACTCAACCTCGTGGATAAATGTTAGAAAATGAAATCTACCTTACACCAAAAAATTAACAAAAAACTAGATTTTTTTTAAGTTGAAACCTAAGTCCACTTCATGTAATAATTTCAGGAAGAAATACATTGAAAAATACACAAATGTAAAGCAGGCATTATTGTTTGCTTCTACATACTTTTTGCATCACCCTCCTGGGAATTAATTCCCAACATATTGGCAAATAACAAAAAGATGTCCATTACAATACATGTCAAATCCCAGACAATCCAGAATGATTTTGTGATGCAAAAAGTAATTTTACTAAAAGATAAAATAATTTACAACTTTCCTATATAGGTGGATAAATTGAGAACCCAAGCCAACGAACAAGCGGATTTGCTAGCCACACAAGAATCCGAATTGAAAAGCAAAAAAGAACTCTTAGACGGACTGAGACAAGAAGAGCAGAGGCTTGAAGAGCAAAAAAACGAAAGTCTCCAAAAACTCGAATCAATGACGACAAATTTACAAGAAACCCAACTCAATATCAGTCAAATTAAAGCTCTGACCACGCAACTAGAAGAACAAACCAGGCAAATTAACGACGCCCTGGCTCTGTGCGAGGCGGCCATCGAATCTGGCGACGCCTCCCAAGTACCGGATACCGCTCTGAGAATTACGGCAGGTTTTAGAGAGTCGGAGTATTCCAGATTGGGGTTGATGAACGGAGCAAGAGACAACGATCCTTTTAGCAGACAGAACGGTTCCAATAGCGGATTCCACGACGATCCTTTCCAAAATGACGCGTTCAAAAGTAAAACTGATCCTTTTAATGCAGCCTTTTCAAAAAGTATCAATGTAAGTTTGATTTGTTGAAACAGAACTTTTAGATATTATAACAGTCCCAGTGTCTGTTCCAATCTTGAGAAATACCCCAGAAAACTAGTCAGTAGAAAATATTAATTATCGTTGAATTTTCTGTTTTTAGGATAGTTTCAATCCCGACCCATTTGGAGCAGATCCCTTTAGTGATAATTTTGACAATACAAATAATAAAGCTGCAGAGCCAGCTTCAGAGGTAAATTTGAATCTCTATATACCATTATTTAATTGTGCATATACCGGGTGCCCACTAGATTACTTTCCGGCTGCCATTTTTTTATTTGTTGATCGATATTAACGAAACTTGGTAGGGTTGATTTTCTAACCAAACCCCATTTTTATGCATCTATAACAAGTTTTCCTGACTTCACCGGAAATGACCGGTACTTTTGATTTTTAAATGGCACACCCTGTTTTTTTTGTTTTTCCGATTCTTCAGAACGTTTTACGTCCTAATGTAGCACTTTTAAATCTGGTTTTGTCCAAATTTCGTTTTCAAATAGAATTTTAGGTAGAAAAAACAAATTACCTACATAATAAAACAAAAATGTTTGAACTAAAATTAAGAAAAATGTCGTAGTGTATTATATCGTTGGATTCGCTTTTAAATACTGCATTTAGTAATGTTATGAAAGTGATATGTTTCTATTCCAGTTTTCGTGCTAGGGCAAAAATACTAAAATAATGAAGTTTACAGCCCTCTCTCAAAAAAGTTTACCAAGATAAAATTGAGTTTGTATTTTTCTGGAATTAAGTAAAGTATGTACAGGGTGAGTCATTTTGGGTGGGAATGCCGGGTACAGCCTAAACGGTGATAGATACAAAAAATCTGATTTAAAAAAATGGCAAATTACGTTTTTGTGTGATTTTTTACGTAGAATCCAGTGGCGTACTCAGATTTTTTTTAGGGGTATTATTTTTCGAGATATAGTCAAAATTTCAACTTTTTTAAATGGGACATCCTATATATTTTCACACCGTTAAATTAGGTTTTTTTTGTGATTCTAATGATATATAACACTTTATAGTTTCAATAATTTTAACTGTCAAAACCGCGAAGAAACTATATTTTTAGGGTATTTTATAGAGTTGTTCCCCGGATTTAGCGATCCCGAACACAAACGTGGTAGGGCGGTAGCGGGAGCAATGCGGCAGCGACACGGGATTAGAATTATTAAAAAATGTGGTGGGATTTAATACATTTCATCCTAAAGCGTTATTTCGCTTACATGTCCTACCACATGTTTTTAATCCCACGACGCCGCCCCTCCTACGGTACCGCACTGGTGTGTAGGATCCTTCAATGAACATTTTTACGTGAACTAGCAGACAGAATAGCTAACTAGGCTTCGAACCTAGGACCCCTAGATTCAGTAACTGCCGAAGTTTGCAGATTGTAGCACTAACACGTTAAAAGTTGACAAAATACTTGACCGATTAGGCAAAAATGAACCGACGGCATCTGTATCTCAGTTGGTATAAGACTAGTAATCTAGAGGCCCTAGGTTCCAATTCTAGTCTCGTCCAAACTTTTCGTAAACTAAGCTACTGGAAAAATTAGCTCACGCTCACGCTCACACTATTAACTGCATAACTAGATGTTCGATGAGGTATTTGTTAGATTTTTTTTTATTTAAGTTACTGGTTCACGAGTTATTTGATCCATATACCTCTAGTTAGTTTACGTTAAATTTTTGTTTCCAATACAAGTTTTGATAACTTATTGAAATCCACTTCTTTGCTTACTACACTAGTGTTATAAAAGTCCATCTAGTAAAAAACTAATTTACAATTATCGAGCATCTTAATATTTAATTTTAAAGGTTGATTTTTTGTCAGTATAATATTTATAAGAAAATTCATTCGTGGCATAGCAAACAGAATTGTAGCTACTTAAAAGTTAACGAAGAGTTTGGGTTAGACGCGACTACTGAACCTTGAGGTTCTAAGTTCGAATCCTAGTCGAGTCCAAATTTTTAGTTAACTTTTCAATTAGCCATTATTCTGTTTGCTAGGTCACGAACGATTTCCCTTATTTATAATTAATTTAAAAACAGGGTGAAATTTTCAGGTTGCATAAAAATCCTATAGTCAATTTATTTACCTACATGTTAAAAAATTGAAATATTTCATTTTAAATAAAATTACTAACGAACTACGGCTGGATATGATTTGTTTATTATTATTAAAAATAGTCATTAAAGCAATTGAAGGATCCTACACACCAGTGCGTTACTGCGGGAGGGGCAGCGTCGCGGGATTAAAACATGTGGCAGGATATGTAAGCGAAATAACGTTTAAAGGTAGGCGCAGATTGACGCGGGACTGCGGTAGCGGGAGCGGGAACGGGAGCGATACGTTAGATGCGGCAGCGGGGAGTTTGCATAGCATGCACACCAACGCGATAGTTTCTGCCATACTCGAAACACGTGGTAGCTTCCAAACAATACAAAAACATTATCAAACTACTATGCGAACTGCGGAAAAACGCTGCACGCTACGAACCGAAATTAAATCGCACACATCCCGCAAATCGCATGCGTTCTCTCCGTACCGGTATGCACTTCTTCATATCTCGCCGTTGATTTACGTCCCGCAAAAGTTTCGTTCCCGCTTCCGCGAGCCCGCGTCAGTCTACGCCTACCTTTAGGATGAACTGTATTATATCCCACCACATTTTTTAATAATTCTAATCCCGTGTCACTACCGCACTTGCTCCCACTACCGCCGTACCACGTTTGTGTTGGGGATCGCTAAATCCGAGGAACAACTTCTATAAAATACCCTAAAAATATAGTTTTTTTGCGGTTTTGACAGTTAAAATTATTGAAACTATAAAGTGTTATATATCATTAGAATCACAAAAAAAAACCTAATTCAACGGTGTGAAAATATATAGGGTGTCCCATTTAGAAAAGTTGAAATTTTGACTATATCTCGAAAAATAATACCCCTAAAAAAAATCTGAGTACGCCACTGGATTCTACGTGAAAAATCACACCAAAACGTAATTTGACATTTTTTAAAATTTCTGATAACAACTGAGATACAGAGGAAAACAGAAATCAGCTATTTTCCAAAAAACCCCTGTATATCGAAAACAAATGAATTTCGAAAAATTCTGAGTGGTCCATTAAACTATACTCAAAAAAATAGATCGCGACACTTATATCAGATTTTTTGTATCTATGACCGATTAGGCTGTACCCGGCATTCCCACCCAAAATGACTCACCCTGTACAGTCATTTTAGGATGATCATGGCACTCTAGTTGAAAAATTAAAATTTAATTTAAAAACAAAATTTGGACAAAATTCTATTCAAAAGTGGTGCATTAGGCTGTAAAACGATATCTAGAATCCGAAAAACAAAAAATATACAGGGTATGCCATTTAAAAATCAAAAGTTCCGGTCATTTCCGGTGAAACCGGAAGTCAGGAAAACTTGTCATAGATGCATAAAAATGTCGTTTGGTTAGAATATCAACCCTATCAAGTTTCATTGAAATCGATAGACAAATAAAAAAATATAACATTAAATCGACTGATGCCTTATAGCTTCTCAAGTCAATTTATAAATAATATCCCAATTAGACTCTTCAGAAACAAAATACGTACAGTACTAGTAAAACCATATAATTATTGAAATATGCATTTAATTTAAATATTCCTTAAGCCTTTTTGTAAATAATTGTTAGGTGTGCACATTTTTAATATTATTATAGGCCAAGGCACTTAGCGAAACAACAGCCATATTTTTACATAAAATTTAACAGCAAACTATCGATGCAATATTGTTAAGGATCATTTAAAGATGCTAAAAACCAAAAATTCAACATCTAATTACTTTTAGGGGATTTTATAAACAATATTTAGTGCAAAAACAGGGCTTTTTTTTGTTTATTTCACTGTATTTCGAAAACTAAGGATCGGATGGTTTTGCTACTGTGGCAATAGTTTTAGAGCATTGAACAAGCTTTACAATGAGCCATCATACAACCCTGTAGGTCTTTTAGTCTTCCAGAAATGATTTTTTTCCCCCAAAAAAAGAGATTTTCGTAAAAAATTCCTAACTTTTTTAATTTTCATGCTAGATAATTAATTTTTCACACATACATAGTAGATGAGGCAGGCTTTATTGAGCCCAAATTTGGGCCCTGTCCGATGGGTCGTTTCGGCATAATACCCTTATCAAGCAAAATGGGGATGTTTCTAAAGCAGTCAGTCGAATTGAGGATAATTTTTTTATATTTATTTTGAAAAGTCCACTGATAAGTCGAAATGCCAAACTATCGATCCTCTATCTCAGATTTTCCATTTAATTTTTTTATCGCAAGTAAAACGGCTTCGAACATGACTGAAAATGGAAAAAATTCGGGAATTCAAACGGAGTGACAGCGAGCTCCCCCCCGCCCACGCAAATTACATTTTTTTTCCATTTTCAGTGATGTTTGGAGCCGTTTTACTTGCGATGAAAAAATTAAATGGAAAATCTGAGATAGAGGATCGATAGTTTGGCATTTCGACTTATCAGTGGACATTTCAAAATAAATATAAAAAAATTATCCTCAATTCGACTGACTGCTTTAGAAACATCCCCATTTTGCTTGACAAGGGTATTATGCCGAAACGACCCATCGGACCGGGCCCAAATTTGGGCTCAATGAGGCCTGCCTCATCTACTATGTATGTGTGAAAAATTAATTATCTAGCATGAAAATTAAAAAAGTTAGGAATTTTTTACGAAAATCTCTTTTTTCTACAAATGTCACTAAAAGTGCCATTTTTAACGGATGCTGTCAGTTTCTAAAATGCCATTTTATGACACTGGTGTTAAAAGTGATTACTTTTAGCACTAGTGCTAAAAGTAATAACTTTTAGTGCGTTTGTAGAAAAAATAGTGTATGATATTCGTGCTAAAAGTGATTTTATTTTGTTCAAAGGGATGGAACACTCCGCCTTCGGCGTCGTGTCTCAAACTTCCCTTTTCACAAAATAAAATGTCACTTTTAGCACTTATATCATAAATAACTATTTTTGGGAGAAAAAAATCATTTCTCGAAGACTAAAAGACCTACAGGGTTGTATGATGGCTCATTTTAAAGCTTGTTCAATGCTCTAAAACTATTGCCATAGTAGCAAGACCATCCGATCATTAGTTTTCGAAATACAGTGAAATAAACAAAAAAAAGCCCTATTTTTGCACTAAATATTGTTTATAAAATCCCCTAGAAGTAATTAGATGTTGCATTTTTGGTTTTTAGCATCTATAAATGATCCTTAACAATACTGCATTGATAGTTTGCTGTTAAATTTTATGTTACGAAAAAATTTATCTGCCCTGGCCTATTAGGTAAATCGTTAAACTTCTGGGTGGGTATTATAAAACTATTATGACAGAAAACTTCTGGAATTAACTTGAACATTAGTTTAGATTGCTATGACATTAGGACCTTTTCCACCTTACAGACACCTAGTTCCCTATATAACAATTTCATGTAGATATGTGTTAATAAGTCATCATCAAAGAGAATTTTTAAAATCTTATTATTATTATTCTTCGGTATCTCATAGCTTTTTCTTTAGGACTATGGTTTGTCTTTCTGAGGGAATAACCGGGTACACACCGTGTGCCTATAAGGTTATTCTTTCTTCGTTGCTGGTCTTGCGCTTGCTGCAGTTTTTCTATAGTACTTTCTGAACTATATGGGCGGTGCTCAGCACAACCGCTTTCTGAAGTGTTTTTCTCTCATTGTTTTGCTGAGCGCAGGGCTTTGGATCTCTTTCAGTTGTGATACATCTTTTCTTCTCTTGCTTTAGGTCGATTCCCTTTTGTTTCTGGTATCAGAATGTTGTGTATTTTTACTGCTGTGGCGTACGCAAGGTTGTTAATTGCCGTTACGTTTCTGTATTCATCTGGGTATTGTCTTATTATTTCTTTAATTGCCTCATTGTCGCTTTTGATTAATTTCTTGGCTTTTCCGTTGTTGTTTATTTTCTTTAGGGGATTTCTTTGTGTATTTTCGTCTATCCTTACTTTTTTTACGGTGATCAGTATTTTCTATCTATTTAAGCCCACTGCATACTGCGTTATGAATTTCTGTTACTGCTCTGTGATTCTGGTTGCCTGGTTCTCTGCTGTTGGGTCTATTTTCGGTTTCTATTTCTTGACTCTGTATCTTTAGGACTGGTGCTTTCCTCTATCCTTCATCTGTATATTCCTTGTCTTCTGTTTCCTTCTGTTCTATTTCTCGAATGTTGGTTGCTATTGTTTGGCTCTGGATCTCGGCTTTCACTTCTTTCAGGATGTTTTTTAAGTCTAGTGCGCTGATTTTGTTCTGTTGCTGGATGTACCCTCTCTGTGTGGCCATGGTGTTTGCAGTGAGGTTGCGTTTTGAGTGTGGCTTACGAGTTTTCAAGAGTCCGAATGTTTTCTTGAGATTGGCTGTTCCAGTTCTTTGTACTTACTGTGTGGAGATAGCACCACATTATTTCTTTGTACTCATCGATTGTTCACTTGATGCTTTCTGGTTTCCTGGGTTCGCTTGGTTGTTAACTTAGTTCTTTAATTGGCTTCTGGATGTCTTGTCCTTGGTTTGGTTGTTCGCTTCTCGATGTTTCCTACCGACCGGTGGTTGTTTCTTTATTTCTGTTTCCTTGGGCGTTCCGGCTAATTCCAAGAGTTCAACGTGTCCGTACTCGAAGTTTCCTGTCAACAGCAGATTGATCTCCTTTGGTCTTACTGTTTTGATTATGACAGTTGGTGGTTGATCTGGCGTGAACTTGTTAGTAGTTGTTCGTTGCATTGATGTTTAGCTTGTGGATTTCCGATAGTGCAGCGCCAATATCTCTATGCTGGTACCATATGTACCGTCCTGACTCATGGTATAGCAATAGTTTCTATCATTCTGCATCCATGGGTCAGTTGCCATTAGGTATGTTTCACCTCATTCCAGTTTTCCCGGATGTAGCTGACCGCCTTATGTCTAACTTTCCTATGTTGCTCTTGTGTTCTGTGGATGAAGAGGCTGACCGCTTGAAACAAACAGTTTCCCTCCCTGGATTTGTTTCACTTCAAATATTCTAGGTTGGCTCATAAGCGCGGATGTTGGGTTGTCATGCTGAATGTTGTTTTTAGTTTGAGGGCTTTGCATGGTGACGACTTGGGAAGCCTCAAGCCCCCTGGGCTGGGACTCTGTAACGAATAGAGATATTTTCTCTATCTCTATTGACGTCTCCTCTCTATTGATTTCGACAAGAGAGAAGAAGACAGCAAGTGCCATAGCTATAGGAATAATGATCTGTATCCGTTACAGAGTTCCAGCCCTGGGTCCTTATTGTTGAAACAGGGGAGTAGCGTTCCCAGGAGAACGAGTGTTCTGCCTTTCTCATTGATATGCAAATGATAATATGAGTAACAAAGACGTAACACTCGTTTTCCTGGGAACGCCGCCCCCCTGTTTCAAGAATAAGGACCCTGATCTCATTTACGTCCTTATTGTTATCCAAGGCTTGTCGTTTATTCTCCATTCTCGTCGGTTTGCTGATTTTCGTCCACCCCACTGATTCAATTTAAAGGATTCGAAAATCTCAAAGACCCAGACCAATATCAAAATAGTTGGCATATAGCCATATACCCACAAAAAACTTGACTTTTCCTAGAAATATGAAATATTGTTGGAGGCAACTGTTACTAAATCATGTTTTAAGATTCCCTCTTGTATCCTATAAGACATAAATTCTTGTATACACACTTTGTGTTGCTAAAAATCACATTTTCAGTTTGACAAAGACGCTTTCGGTTGTGACCCTTTCGCCGTACTGCACGCCCCGACAAGAGAAAGCGTTTCGGGGGCGCCGCCGCGTCCCTCGAGTCCCAGTCCGGCGCTGCCGCCCAAGAAAAGCAAACAACCTCCTCCGCGTCCTGCGCCTCCGAGACCCGCTCAGCCACCTTCGATGAAAAAACCACAAAGCAGCGGTTTCGGTAACGATTCGTTCGAGGGTGGTTTTGGAAGCGGCGGAGGAGGAGCAGGAGGTTTCGCCGATTTTACAAATTTTGAATCCAAGGTGAGAATTTTTGTGTGTTTACTAAATTTTGCATAGCCCTAGTAGTTTGGTTTGATTTGTATATAGGTGAAGTAATAGGAAACATAGGGTCAAATTTCAAGTTTGAACTGTGATTTGTAAAATTTTCTTAGGGCTCTGCAAAAAAAAATTGAAAAATTTTATATTATTTTTTCTAGTGTTTGCATAGCCATTTTCCTTTAGAAGTAATAACTACACCCAGTTCTTGTCCACATTCCTTTAGTCCTATTCCATTTTGGCAAGTATGTATATTTATTTTTATTTTAGTTCACTCACCTGATGATCCCAGCATGCGGCAGCACTTGAGCAACATTTTTTATTTTGCCCTCTGTAGATTTTGATTTTGGTCAACAAAATTAACAAAAAATTTCAGGTGCAGTCGTCAGGTTCCGGAACTAACACCTCTTTTTTTCTTACTAATTTTTCAGCCTTAATAATTTTAAAAATCATCTTCAGTTAGCCGCCCCATTCCAAAAACAACCCGCACAATCCAAAGGTCTGGATTTTTCTGACGACCCTTTCAAAGACTACAGGTACGAGGATCCATTCGATATCACTTTTGACGATGATAATGACGCTGAAATCGACAAATCCAGTTCTTTGGACGCCTTCGACAAACAAGACAAATTCGATCCGTTTGGACTTGACGGTAGACAATCGGTACCACCCATAACGTCATTCGATCCGTTTTCTTTGAAAAAAGAAAGCGGAAGAGCTTCGGCACCGATCGGTACCACAAAGTTACCAAGCGAAGACAAACAATTGGAGTGGGCGGCACGAGAAAGTTTACGCTCAGAAGAGGAGAGGCGAAAGCGGCAGCAAAAAGAAGACGCCGAATTGGAAATGGCTTTGAAGCTGAGTCAAATCGAATCCAGGAACTAATAATTTAAGTGTAATTAAAATACCAGCAATTATTAGAATAATGCTTCCAAAATATTATCGATTAAGTGTTTAATTTGCATGACTTTCGTATTTTTGCTATATTCATCAATTGTCAGTTTTTGGGCCAATCAGGTAACTGAGGCAAAAAATTGATAAGCAATATATTGGGGTTGTGTTGGAATGTTTTGGATATGCGAAAAAAAAGGTCATTCCATGTAGTTGAGTTTTTTTTATATTCAAGCAGGGCGCTCACCAATCAAAAGGCATGTTATAACTCAAAACAAGTTTGTTTATTTTGAATGTGAAATTCACATATTTTTGAGACTTCTCAAGAAGAAAAAATTGTTTTTGTTTCTACTGCTACTGCAAGTTGCATTATTAGGTTTACAGGTGTAAGTATATTTTTTTCAGTTTTCATACCATAGATGTCGGGTTCGGGTTTCATGGAAGCAGTATTCTGAGCCGTTTGAGTAGGCGCCCTGCAAACAATTTACCAAAAAAAAATAAATTAGTATTAAACTAAAAATTTAACTTATTGTGTGGCACAAAAAAGTATGCCCTTAATATATCTCATGTGAACATAATTGTATGTATATTCCAATGCCTTAAAATTTGTATAGATAAATCACAATTATTGTGCGCAAAACGTAGCATTTTCCTTCACTTATATCAACGAATATTGTGACTCGACTGATATGTGTTGCTCGATTATTTTTTGGTTTCTTCACAAAACAAAATAAATATGTGTTCTTAATTAAACGTATAAATGTTGCACCTTTGCCAGAACTTACTTTTAATTGGATCGATAACTATATAAATTTAGATTGGTACCATTAAATTGAACTCTGACCAAGTCGATTTGTACTCTAGTCAAGGGCAAAATAATTATAGGGTAACAAAAAGTAGATTATTGCAAAAAAATAATTAATTTTTAGGTGAATTCTCTTGTTGTTTACAAACATAAATGTTGTTTTTTTTTTCTTTAAAATTATGTAAATTTATCATGTAATACTCCTTGGACAAAAAAAAAGAAATAATTGTTTAGTTATTAGTATGTTCCTTGTTAAGTTATCTTGTAGTTAGAAGAATATGTAATTGTTACATGTAAATATTGTTAGAAAACAATTTATTTGTGATTATTTTCCTAGTAGGTATTTTGCTTACTTTATCATTATTATTATTATTTGTAAATATATTTTTATTTATTTATTTTTGGTTTTTATTTATTTTTTTCCTTTTTTGTTCTGTTTATTTATTTGTTATATTGTTAGTGCAGTGGGTTGAAATATAGTAAGCTATTGAAAGCTAAAAACCAATCTAAGACTTAATTCCCCTGGGTTATTTATAACAAAAGCCCGCTACAGTTTTTGTGTAAATAATTGTTTAAAAATAATTATAGATGTAAGTACTATGATACACCTGATTATGTCAGTACATGACAATATCCTTTATATACATATTATAACAATAAATGTGGCAATGTAGATTTGTAATGTAAAAACTAACAAAAAAAAAAAACGTGTTTCTTGTTATAAACAATTTTAACTGTTGATTTTGTTTTGTGCTTGGCAATCTTTTGCGACAAAACACAAAATTATTGCTGTTTTAAATTCCTAAGTTTACAAGCACCTGAATAAATAAACCATTTCATTAGCAATTAGCAATAATTCTAGTTGATTATCCTTGTCCTGATAAATTTGGTAAGTATCGAGAATTTTCCTACATTGACTAGTAGGCTATTATGACAGCTGCCAGCATATATGCTGTGGTCCTACTAGTCCTACTGTCCGCCCAAGTTGAAAACACAGGTTAAAAAAAAATTTAAGAATTTAAGTTCATAGAAAACATAGTTGTCACGTATACTCACTACAAAAAAATGAGGCGTTTAATAATTGTTAACAAATAACAACGTGTACGTGACAACTATGTTTTCAATGAACTTAAATTCTTGATATTGTTCTTAACTTGGGCGGATAGTACATAATCTTCAAGGCTACAGACCAAATCAAGTTAATACGAAAAATTGAACAGAAATTAGAAACCGTTAATGCAAATTGCTACATTATTTACTATTTCTGTTTGAACAACATACAACCAGGAATCTGCTGCAATCTTGGTGACTGTAAATGTCTGCTTATAAGATAATCTCCAGAAATCGCAGAGTTACAGCGTCACATATCAACACTCTCGGATATTTTTCCTTTTAAATGTGACACTGGTAAGAAAAAAATTAAAGGAAAAGGTAGGTAATTTGAACGCAAACATATTAACGGATGAGCAGAATTTTAAATGCAACATTTGCAAAGCAAAATTTAAAAGAAAAGGCAATTTGAGAAACAAACTAACACACTTGGATGAAAAGAATTTTAAATGCAAATCCAAAAATGTAAATTAGCAAAATTTAAACAAAAAGGTAATTTGAAAAGTCGCATATCAACAGACTTCGATAGTTATCTTTTTGAATGTGACATTTGCAGAGCAAAATTCAAAGGAAAAGACCTTTAAATGTGACACATGCAATGCAAAATTTGAACACAAACGTAGTTTGAAGAGCCACATATTAACACACTCGGATGAGAAGAATTTTAAATGTAACATTTGCAATGCAAAATTTAAAAGAGAAGGCGATTTGAAGGAACACATATTGATACACTTGGATATTTAATTTTTTTGAATGGGACATTTGCAAATCAAAATTTAAACGGAAACGCGATTTGAAGATACACAAACTAATACATGCGGGTATTTATCCATTTGAATGTGACACTTGCAAGGCAAAATTTAAACAATAGTTATTTGTATACCAAGGCCGCGAAGTGCCTTTTAGCGTACGTAGAGAAAAGTTATCGCTGAGGCCGCTTGCGGCCGAGGCAAGATAATCTCGAGGACGCTAAAAAGTTTCGCGGTCATGGTATACTTACACACAATTTTTTGTGCAACCATGAAAATTATGTGAAATTACAGAAAAAAGTATTCCGTTTAACAAACATGTGGAACTAACTACCAGTTTGATGTATAACCTGGTGGCTATGGTGGCACAGCGTTTCTATGGATGTCATGGATGACATATATTTGGCAAGTAAACAAATCCACACAAAATTTTGACGGTTCTCAAAAAATCGTGAAGATGTCCGGAAGCGATACAGATATTTTACTTTCTTGCACTCTTTCAGAGTTAAAAAGTATGGTTCAATCAGCTATTTCTGAGTTAATACCTGGAAAACTGAGCGGCAATATGAAAATTGTTAAGGAGCATTTACATTCACTTCTAACTTTAAGCTAAATTTGACGTTTGATAATTTATCATTTACATTGCAGAACATAAACGTCAAGTCAAAACGTCAGAATTTTGGATGGATAATCTAAAAATTTGACATTTCACAAATTTCTGCTTGGCCTCGGTAAGCAGCTCGCCCAAATTTAAAGTGCACTTGGAAGTGAACTTCAAATTTATTTCAATGTAAATGGATCTGTGCTGTCACCATATGGCAAGCACGTCAATTTCAAGACAAATTGGACTTTGAAGTGAATGTAAATGAACCATTACTGCGAGTTCAAAAATTGGTTTGACAAACAAAACGTCAAAATGGTGTCTGAAAACATATTTGCTTATTTAATGCAGAAATGGAAGGTTTTGAGAGTTCAATTCAAAAACACTGGATTATTAGTTGCTTCAGCTTCAGGAGTAAATATTAGTAATAATGCAAAGTGTCACATAAGTGTTAATATTTATCCCAAATAATTTATGTTGTTCGAATCTGAAGAATTTGGAAATAAAATTTACTCATTCTTGTTGTCAAATTGTCAAATTTTGATTTATAGTTTCGCGGCCGACACCAAGGGCAACGGCCGCGAAATTGAATTTCGCGGACTGTGTAGCGGCCGCAAAAGCTCATTTCGCGGACGGTTGCACAAAAAAAGGTAATTTACAAAGGCACATTTCAACTTACTCGGATATTTATCCATTTGAATGTGACACTTGCAATGCAAAATTTAAGCAAAAACATAATTTGAAAAGCCACATATTAACACACAGTTTGTTTATTATTTGATTCACTCAATAGTGACATGTGTTTCGCTCCGGGATCCTTGAATTCAGCCACAAAATTCACCTGTTCCGGAATAAGGAAGAGGGTGACAATTTTACGATAGTTGGACTCGGCCCAATCGATTATCGGGTGGGTGGATATTTTATGACCCATCGGCCATCAGTATCAATATGCAAATCGGTACACTGAGATATATATAGATTTTAAATCAACTTATTTACTTCTTATAAATAGCTAAAATCTCAGGCATGGTGGAGGAAGATCCAAAACTTAAGCTTAAGCATTGAATATAAAACAAAAAAAATCAGAAATCGATCAATCGTTACATAATTGATTGATGATGTTTTTGGAGAATCAAGAAGTTAGCGATTTCTTTGTTTTTGAGTTGTTAGCTATTCAGCCGAATCACGAAGTTCTAGTTAAATTTTCAGATTATCTCATCGACACATGGCACATGCCTCGATAGACCTGGATAAAACAACAAATGCCTGTGAATCTTTCCATAGGTAGTCATTTTGGTACACTTTATTTTTTCCCAAGATAGATTTTGACATTGAAAACTTTGAAACATAAACAATAACGCTTGACCCTGATTGGTCGCAAAATGAGGTGTTTCTGCAGGTTGACATCAGTTTTACAATAGCGACCAATGAGCGGCATTAGCGGCATTGTTTATGTTTCAAAGTTGACAATGCCAAAATCTATCTTGGAAAAAAATAAACCATAGATCTTTTTATTTTGCGCATCAAAATACATATTTACACTTTTTCAGATTTATTAACTCATATGCAATGCGAAATCTGTCAACATCATAAGGTAAGTTTTATGGGCAGTAGGTTGGGTTTCATGATTTGGCCGAATTCAAAGGTAGGAATACTGCAGCTACCTGGTTTGTGGCCGAATTCAAGTATGCCCGTTTCGCTCATACATACGAGCATCATCGGACCTACAAAATGATACGTGTAGAAAAATTATCACGGGCGGCTAGCCCCCTAGACAAACGGGGAGGCGGTTAGGTAATAAACACATTTGGTTTCCTTTGTGTATTTTAGACTTTTATGACAGAATTCTCTTTAGTAAGAAATAGTCAAAATTAATTTTCAAAAGTGCTTACTTTTATAAACATTCATATTTCAAAAACTAATCGTACGATTAGTCATCGACGAGCTATCCAACGATGTGCAGCACAAGGTAAATTAGTATTGAAAAAAAAAGTAATAAGTTATGGAAGCGGGGTGCGTCATTTTACTTTCTCGTCCAATCCCTCAGTTCTCCCGATACGTATTTGAGATCTTTATAGTATTTTTTGTCTTAGGAAATATTTCCGATTGCTATTTTTCAAATTGTCACTCTATATGTACGTATATAGTGCGGCGGTGGTTGCGTCCCGTTTTCCTATTCTGATATACATTCAAGTTTTCTATTTTAATAAAAATAAAGTCGCAAAATCGGTCCGCGATCATAGTTCAACTAATATCGGAAGTTTTAATAGGTATTTTTTATTCAAGGAAAATAATTGAAATTTAAGAAATTTCCAGGGGGGGTCAAGTGACCCCCCTGACCCTCCCTGTGGGCGCCCTTGATAACAAGATATCTCGAACATTTTATCGAGCTCTTTAGCAGTGGCGACAAAGTACCTTGATCGCTGAATAGCATGCTGCATCGCCCTCGCCTGGCGACGAACCTGCGCAACGCAGCAAGGCAGGCTTCCATGGTCAAGTCGGAGGCTATAACTCTAAAGCACACTGCTGCACACACAAATAGGCAGATGTAAGCCTTTTGAGTCTTGCAACCGCGGTACTTGGATAAAGCCACAAATAAGGGACCACCCATAGTCTACTCTAACAATGGAAAAGAGTTTTATTTGATTTACTCTGTAGGAGGGTAAATTTCCCATTAGAGGTTGCAAACTCGTGGGTCAAAGTCAAAGTCAAAAGCATTTCAAACATTTACCTAATCTCGTAGACGTAACTGAACACCTACTATTATATTACACTCAAAAAAATCTTGATCATAATATCAATGAACTGCTTTCATAAATTACATTTTCATTGATTCAGTGAAATTTTCATTAATCCCAGGTACAGAAAACTGTAAGTATTATGATTTCATGAACAGCTATCATTAAAATAAAGAATGAAGCTTCATCAAGTTATGAATAGTCATCTACATGAATCTATGTTGAATAGTGCATCGGTTACAAGAACTAAGTTCATTGATATTATGAAATTAAACCTTGATATTAAAGAAAATTTCTTTGATGGGAGCTTCCACGGAATATTCATAATATAAATGAATATTAACATGAATAATATGAATATGGTTCATATGACCTTACTAGAAAATTATCCTTTTAAGAACGAAATTCATTGATACAATGTACGGTTCATTTAAAACAAGCAAGTATTCCTAGAAACAAAGCTGCAACCATTACATCAAGATAAATCATAAATACAATGAAACAGTTCATAGCATTAATGTAGACAGTTCCTAAGCACATGCGCAAAGGTAGCTGCAGTCGGGCAACGACATAGAAAAATATGTTGAAATAGGAATAATTACATTTCTATTTTCTGGGTGCACTGCTACGTACTTCGTTCGAGTCGGTTTTTTCGGTTTTGTGTTGTTCGAAGTGTTAAATAGAAAG